TCCACTCACTCCACTCACTCCACTCACTCCACTCACTCCACTCACTCACTCCACTTTACATCCTGCTAGCACTGCCCGCCGTGGTCGGGATAAGACCACTTGATAGCTTTGATGGTCGTTTCGAGTGTGTTACGTTTTGAAGGTCTCATGCGGATCTGATCGCAAAATCCAGAGCCTCCAAACTTCTCTCTCCGCCTCCTTCTCTCTCTCTCTCTCGTCCCTCTCATCCTTGTTCATCACATCATCAGACACTTTGTCACACACACACACGCACGCCATCTTACCACACACACACACACACCTCCTCCCTCCCCTCCTTCTCATCCTCGTCCATCACATCATCACTTATACTACACGTCTTAGCACAACCGCCTCATATACCTTCTCTCCTAACACTTCGTTCTTGACTTTTCATCTCACTACTCCGTCTCCCATGTGATGTTCATATACAATTGAAATTTGTAAAACTTATCATGTGGGGTTATCCGGTCCTTTTATCATGCTGTACTTCAGGCCAGGTGGGCCAGAGGATGCCCACGTCGGTGGCCGGCAGTTCAGGTAAAGAGATTTCGGTGTGATATGGCGGATTATGTGGCATATTGAGAATCATTGAATCCAAAAACGCCGAAGTCTCAGGGGCGTTAGGTAAAAGGGCGTCGGGACACCCCCCCCCTCATGATATGGTGTGAATCCTAGGCGTGTGAGACTGGAGGCGCCCTGCTTCTTATAGCAAGGGATGATGTGTGACCTGGAGAACGTTTGGATGTGTTTGACAATGAGTCTGAAATTATCAGCTAGCATACGCACCGAGCGGGCACGGAGCGGTAGCAGTGCCACTCGGCTATCGGCATATGGAACAACATACGTAGTATCCTCACATCGGATACGGGCTGGTAAGATTCTATTGGACCAAAGCATGAAGGAGCAGGCAAGCTCAGTCCAGGTAATCCCAGGGTCATTTCGGCACGCGGGATTATCGGGACACGGCCACCGAAGGGAATTGCAGAACGTCCACACCATGCGGGCCAGGTTGACGCCCCAAGGACATGACCAGAACACAACCCGATGTGGTTCGGGCGGCATAGTAAACGTTGGATCAGGAACTTCCCAGGTACTGAGTGCCTGGAGTGTTTCATATGAGGTAGCAGAATTACGGACCGGGGGAGCGAGGCGTCCCCCGACAGATTTGCTGCCTTCAGACAATTTTTCGAGCTGTTCCATACGGGCACATGAGAAGGCCAAAAGATATGCAAAAACCTTTTTGAATGTATCATGCTCTTGTGTACGCTGTGTACGAACCTGTTGGCACAACAACGAAAATTCTGGATCATCAGTCTGACGCGATTTTCCGGCAACTTCGTCGGCGTATGCATTTCCTTGAATGTGCCCTTCTTCCCCCCTTTGGATTGTAAGACCTCTTCAGTGACCTCTTCATATATTGGATTTTACTGATCCGGAGTCTGTAGTCACTGTAGTCTGCACATGTAACCAGAGAAGGCCAACAAAAACCAGGACCTGGGTCCCTCGCCACCAAGCTTTGGGGGCGGGACCTTCAACATGCATAATCTTATTATGTATATACATGTATATACTTTGTCATATAAGGTGATTTAACATGATTTAACTATGAATTGTTGATGGCTTTGGCAAGGTTCTGTGTTTTCAGCTTCTTCAACGGATCATGACGGTCATATGTTTTTCTCTCCGAATGCGCGTGCTTTTTCCTTTCGGTTGGAGGCCTTGATGCAGAGCTCTGGGAACATTGCAGACAACATCCGGGAGTGCATCTCACGGCAGGCGCGGGCGAAAGCAGAAGAGACGGCCTGAGCCTGGATGTGAGGATGGCCCAGTGTCCACACTTTTGATCCAGGCGCTTGGGGATAAGGCCTGCTGAGATAGTTTCCTTAGCTAGTCTTGTGCAGGTGTGGCCCATGTGACCTTTGTGATCCATATCGACCCATGGTGTGACCCATGAACCCACTCATTCAAGAAACGAGTCAATTGAACAAGTCAGATCCCATAAGTCGGAGAATTCTATCGACGGGTCTTTTCGCGCCGGGTTTTTTCCGCTCGAGGGCGCTGAGAACTTGACGTTGTGATGGCGCAAGCGTCACGCGTCCCCTCAATGAAAAACACACACGCAGGTGTGTGTGTGTGTGTGTGTGTGTCAACACCTGTTTCCAAGGTTGTAGCATTTTCCAACACGCAGGGGGTCGCAGGGAACCCACAGTTCTGCTGCCAACGAAGACAGCTGTGGACATTCCGTGAAGCAGATTGGGACGCCAATCTGTGTACCTGCACTGTCTCAATACACCAATTCTTCCTCTCTGTGTTTTGGTTCCATGGTTGTTCTCATGATAAGATAGACCCAGAAACCAACCCCAGCGCTTCTTGCAGATTAGTCACCACAGTCAACCTTGTTCAAACACTTTCAAATCCAGGGACTCAGCCACCTTTCGGTTCCTGCACCTTTCTGTTCCATCAAGTCAAGGGCTAATGCGTGTAAAGTAGAACTTCAATCACCGAGCATCCATCTAAGTGTGTGTGTAACCCTTGGAATCATAGGGTTTGGATTTTTCAGGTTTGCCTTTCTGTTTTGTTTCACAATGTTTCACAGCAGGGGGCAATGATCCTTTCAGCAGTCACTGCCTATAACAAAGACACTGCTGATCGGATGTGATATGACTCTGGGACGCCAGAGTCACGTATCTGCGATTTCCTTCCTTTCTGACTGGCATGAGGCTAAGCCAAGAATGTCACTCGGCAGACAAGTACGACCGTCGTCACTCTGTCGCTTCGTCGTCGCCTTGAGACTTTGGCCTCCGTTCCTCTTGAAGACCTCCAGGCTCCGTTGGTCCTTACTCGCACCCTTAGGAAATGGAACCCTAGGCCGGCGTGTGGCACCGCTTTCAGTTCAGTACACCCTATCCTAAGTGTGTTTGGCCTCGTGCCAACCCGGGATGAGCCCGCAGAGTGCCTCCCGTGGACCCGTTGAACGGGGGTTTGTCGCTGTTTCCCTTGCTTTGGAAACGTACGTGCCCAGAGCGGGCGAAGGTGACCTAGGCCGTACGTACGATGATTTTTGTCTCATCTTTGGAATTCCAAGTTGGCTCATGCCTCTACGTGACCGCAGCGGTCAAAGCAGCCAGCCATTTCGGCAGGGCACAAGGTGACCACAGCGGTCGAAGCAAGTTTAAGGTTCATTGCAACCTGTGGAGAACTTAGCCCCCTTCTCCCCCTCCCTTCCCCCTTTCTCTCTTTGCTCTCTGGGGTTTTCCTGAATGTAATACTCAGGATCTCCCCTTTCCTTCTTTGGTGTGTCCCTGGACGATTGTTCGTAGCTGGGAACACCTTCCTTTCTCTCCTCTCCCTTTCTCTCCCTCTCTCTTTCTTTCCTTCTCTTTTTCCTCTCTTCACCCTCTTCCTTGGGCGTCCGTGGATGCTTTCGTCATAGCTGGGAGCCCTTCCTCTTTGGTGTGTCCTTGGACGCTTGTGCCGTAGCTGGGAACACCTTTGCTTCCTCCTCTCCCTCCTCCTCTTTTCCTCCTCCTCTCCCCCCCTCTTTCCTCGCGCGTGGCGTATTTACAAGCAAACTAGGCTTTTGCAACAGGTTTCTCAATGAGGTTTGGACTGTCATCGGTTTGCCCCCTTTCATTTGTTTCCCCTTTCATCCGCCCCCACCGACATTTTTTCCTTTTTTCCTTTCATGTCCTTCTGTCTTCATGTCTCTTCATCCTCATCCTTTCTTTCTCTTGCGTGCACTATCGTCGGGACCTTAGTTTGTACACATACACGCACGCGTACTCTACTTACAGCGAGGTTCAGGTGGCCCAGGTTCGTTACAATGAGGTTTGGCTCATCGGTTGTCCCTCTTCACTTGGTTCCTTTTCATCGGCAACCACACACCTTTGTCTGTCTTGTCCTTCTCATTTTCATCTGTCCCTTTTGCGTGCACATGTGCTTACCTCCTTTCCGGGCAGGATGGAGGTTACGCATGCCTCCCTTCGGGGAGGCGTGTGTGTGTAACCCTTGGAATCATAGGGATCCTTTTGGATTTTTCAGGTTTGCCTTTCTGTTTTGTTTCACAGCAGGGGGGCAGTGGTCCTTTCAGCAGTCACTGCCTAACAAAGACACTGCTGATCGGATGTGATATGACTCTGGGACGCCAGAGTCACGTACCTGCGATTTCCTTCCTTTCTGACTGGCATGAGGCTAAGCCAAGAACCTCACTCGGCAGACAAGTACGACCGTCGTCACTCTGTCGCTTCGTCGTCGCCTTGAGACTTTGGCCTCCGTTCCCCTTGAAGACCTCCAGGCTCCGTTGGTCCTTACTCGTACCCTTAGGAAATGGCGTGTCGCACCGCTTTCAGTTCAGTACACCCTATCCTAAGTGTGTGTCGTGGAATGTTCTCGGCACTATTGGTCTAATTACCCACTTGGGGGTTGCTGTTTCAGGATGGTTGCACGGCGCTTCAGAAAGGGATTCTAACGGTCTAGCTGCCGATTGCCGACCGGCACCATCAGATCAAGACGAGTGCTTGAACAACTCCACGATTTGGGGCAAGAAAGCCCCGGCGAGTTGAGTGGTTTTCTTGCGATGTTTGTCCATCGGCTCAGCTTCGTTTGTGCAGGAAAGTCTCCTTCCGATGATCGCCGTGGGCACCCCAGGGCTTTGGTCCAAGCAGGAAGCACGTTCGATTTTTCCAAAGACGGGACGAATTTCTCCCATAGAACATATCATACCCGAAAAACTTTGAACAACCAGTTATGTTACCTGTCAAGGTCAGATGCATGTTGGCAGTGGTCAGTGTCGTTTTGGCACTCGTGCGTGTTAAACGCTACGGGGCACTCTTCCATGTTACGTCCGCCTCGGATTCTGTTCCATGATAATTCATATATCTTGCAGGGGTGTACGGTTGAATGGACCCGTCAAACTAGTGCTTTGTCACCTTCTTTGCTCCGTTTTACTCTGAAATTTGAAGACGGGTTGGTTCGCCCGTCTCGGATGCACGCAGCTGGCTAGACAACCTGCAGCTGCCATCTGAGTCGGAGTGGTCCTCCTTTCCGTTTGAGGATGTGATTGCGACTTCCAACCCTGAGGTCCTACAGATGAACATCGCGCGGGCCCAAAAGGCCAAGAACGAGCAGCTGGAGAGGGCGGAGGGAGGGTGACGCTTCGTGATCACCTGCAGATGCGCGAAAACCGACAAGCTACACCATGACTGTGATCGACAATGACTGCATCAGTGTAATACATGTCGAATCTCGAAAGAAAAAACACTTAGAATCCGAATTGAGGCTCTATAAATATACAATATAAATAGAACTTCTGCATCAACGTAACTTTAACTAGAAACTATTTACATTCAGATTTGAAACGTCACTTTCCGCCTGGCAGTAGCAACACCCAGCCATAGAACTCAACCCGAACAGTAACTAGCAAAGCAATGCAAGGCGGTCGCGCAAGTGACTTCCGCAGGCCAGGAAACTGCAGAGGTACTCTGCATTCAATCCAAACACACTACCTGTTTTTTGAAGAACAACCCAAGCTAGATCCTGAACAACCGCTTTGCTGGGACGATGTTTCTGGAAAGCCGCCCAAGATTGAGAAGCTTCGTGCTGCAAGACTTGAAGAATGTGAGGTTATTGAATAATCCATGGGATCTTGGGATCTGATTGGTCGACCTCAGAATGAGAAGGTCATCCATGGTGTGACGGTAGAAAGAATAGGGTTCCCCCTGCCAGCTCTTTGCGGGCTACTCCTTCGGGAATGTAGAGACCAGCGAGCTACTAGCAGCACTTGCATGTACATAGCCGTCTAGAGGCTAGTAGTGGATAGCACTTGTAGTGACACTTGCTTGTCATACATGTAAAACATGTGTGGAGACAAATCCATACTTGTGAACCCATTTAGGAAAAGGATTGCAGGCTGCGCACTCTCACTGAAACTAATTTGCATTTTCCCTGGCACATGCGTGCAGCCAGAAACGAGGGACCGAGAGGCTTCAAATTTTGGTAGAGATGGTAGTTCACTTTGCGAGAGTTCAAGAGTTTTTTGTAAAGACTTTCTTTGTGTTTTTAAAGCTTGTGCATATACAGCTTTTTAACGACTGTTGCTGTTTGCTCAAGTGTGTGTGAGAAGGGCGCATGCTAGTGCGACCTGATTGAAAAAATGTGGTTGCCCTTTCGGATTTCCCTGTATCCTTTCAACACCCAAGGGTGATTAAATTTGACCTTGGACATTTAGTTTCCGCACTTCCGAGTGGAGCGTGACTACTGCGTGACTTGTTTGAGAGATAGTGGAGGAAACCAGTCTTGAAACAAGTTGAAACTCTAGATTCAGGGTATTTTTGATGTGTGCCCTGCAGGAGCGTGCGCTCACCTTCCTCTACAACACTATCAACGAGGAGATGGAGTCAAAGGCGGCTTCAGCCCGTCCAATCGCCATGTGTTGATGCAAACGTCATGAACCATCGTGGGGCCCACGGATTCAAATACACACACACACACACACCTCGACGCAAAATCGGTTTGGCGCCTTCATTTCTTGCAGCTCCTATAGACGCATTTGGTATCCGATATTGCCTACACGTCAGGGAGGCAACTGGATGTGCGCAGGACAGTTCACAAAAAATGTGGGACCTGCAGAGACATTTGACACGTGTACTTGGAACATGTGGTATGTTTGTTGCTGGGGTGCTTTAGTGGGGGCAGTGCATGCCATGTGCCCAGGTCTGTCAAACATCACGTTTTGAAACATGTTCCATTCCATTCATTTCACGGCATCCAACACAACACCCAAAAACACCGCTCCATGCCCTCAGAAGGGTTTGACCATGCCCTCAGACCAACTATGCTCCATGCCCGAGACAAGGTCCCGATGGGGGCTGTGGACCTTCTGGTTGGGGTAAAAGACCGACTTCGGGACATTGGAAGAACGTGTTGCAGAAACCGTTCATTTCAACCGTAGAACGACGTGTCTCAGCATGGAGAACCGCGTGCCACTGGGGGCCTAGGTACCCATGGTGAACCGCGTGCTGAGCCGATGCCTAAGCACTGAGGCCAGTAGACTCTCCACTGCTTGAAATGAGAGAGCTTGCCTGAGGGTTACAGAGAAGTGGTGATTTGTTTTGGCATGTGTCTTATCAACATGCAGGGTGTAACGGCATTTACATTCCAACAGACGTCCAAACAGATCCCGCAATGGAGATGGAATCATGCTGCACTGATGCTGAGATGGTAGCATCATGTAGCATCAGTGACGTGGTTTCTTCCGCAATCCCTCTTACTGGTCCTCATCATTCACTCAGAGGGCTTGGTCTCATCACCATCAAACCCAGATCCAGTGATGCGAGAAAATGGGCCGCTGGTCGATCCGCTGTGGTCGAGCGCTCGAAGCTGCGCCCCGGGCCTGGGGCGCTCGAAGAATGGTCGCTCGTGTCGTCATTCCCCTGGAAGGACCCGGAACCGAGGAGGGAGCTCTTGAAGGTGTATTTCAGTGAGAAGAGTGAAGAGGCTGGAAAGCGTTTTCGCCGCGAGCGATGGCCGCTTTTGCTATCAGGATGTTTGAGAGCCCACCGGAACTTTGCGTTCTCATGGCTATTTAGGGGTGATTTCCCCCATTCCCGCGTGATTTTGATTGATTAGATTGGCCGCATACATCCGATTGCTCGAATATGATTTATAACATCTACAAGAAGTTCTGATGGGCATTGCCAATGCCCATCGAGTATTTCTTCGTGCTGACCCATGGCATTTCTCCTTCAAAGCTTTGCAAGGAGCATCCATCAGAAAAAAAAAGCATCAACAGCCTTTGAATCGTTCAGGTGCCAGGTGATTCTTAACATTGTTTGCCAGTGTAAGCGTCTTTGGAGCCAGGCAGATCTTGGGGCGATCAAATCTCATTCTTGCGAAAAGTCAATCCCCCCAACCCTCAGAAGTCCAATTTTTGGACTAAGGTTTCCTGTGGCGCCATTGGTGAGGTATGTTTACGAGCTAGGCTTGCACCAGCTTGTCAGGATAAGCCAAAACTCATGGCCGAAGCGATTGTAGGCCTTGCCAAAGAGGTGGGGCAATTTGCTGGATCGGCGGGATTTTTCCCCTGAGAGCTCACGTGTAAAGCTGGGCAGGCTCGAATCAGGGCGGGCAGGGTTCTGTTTGTTATGTTTTGTTGATGCATGATTCAGGTGTAGAAGTGTAGATTCATGATTCGACGAGACACATGACAAAACACTGTCGTCACGTATTGCCGAGGTCGTGTTCCCGCAAGTTCTTGTCTCAATCCTTGCGATGACCTGTGCCACTTTGATTCATTCTCACTTCGCCCAAGACCACTCTAATGTTTTGCTTGCCATCACGCATCTCTGGTTGTACAATGTTGTACAGCTATAGTAGCTAGAGTCCTAGAGGATCAGGCGGCCGCCTGCCTGTCATACGCCTGCGAGGCGCAAGGGCAAAAGGATCAAGCTGGTTTTGATCTGGAGAGACCCGACCTTAGAAACCCAGGTCAAAACGACCCGCTAAACCTCGTGGGATGAGTCGTGTCTTGCGTCAGGCAACGATTCCTGGCCGTCACTTCGAAGGTCATTTACGCAGGACATGAAATGGAAGTTAATAAGTGGATCAACAAAAATGCGTATAAAATGAACAGATCACTTCCCTTGGTTTGATGGGGCCGTTGCCATGACCGCCACATGGACGGCATATTCGCACAGCACCGAGGTGCTTTGGGGCGAATCCGTGAAGTGGCCCTGGATGTGGGCGTGGTGGCCTCTGAGGTGTGTGGTGAGGAGGCGTGGCGCTTAGCGCGACGCTCCGCGGCGTGGCGAAGAAGCAGTCCGCGGAGGTGAGGGGAAGACGAAGCAGCAGCTGGGAATTGGTTTGACTTGCCGACTTGCAGCATTCGACGTAGACCAGTGATCACACGTCGATGTGATGCTTTCTCCTCTCCATCACTTGCTTCAGTGGATGGGTGCGGGAGTTGTCAGGTGGTGCGGGTTCTTATGCCTCATTTTCAATATGCATTCATCGGGCAGGCTGTGCACATGAGTTTACTGTACGCACTTTGGCAAGGCCTGAGTAGGTGGGAACTGAACGTCCAAGAACATTGTTTTTTAAATATCAGTGTTTTGGTGAACGGCCATATTCAGACATATGCAAACTGCAAAGGAGAACAAACAAGAAACAACCAGCGAAACTAAATAAACCAACTACTGTACAATAACAAAAAATAGTTAGTCCAATAATAAGAATAGTTGGTCGTTTTTGGGGGCTTACTCTTCTAATTGAGTTTTAGAAGGCTGGGAGATTGGCTAAAGGCGCTTCATCTTAGTCACTCTACTGTAATCCCATGTAATCCCATTTTCTTTTTCAACCGTGACCTGTCAGTCACTAGTCAATTTGGCTGGCCTGAGGTTCAGGAACAGTTTATGGAAGATATCCAACCGCTCTTTGATCTTTTGGTCTAGGTGCGGCGGGGCGCATGTGCGAAGCCGCGCGTGCGAAGGGGCGTGACAATGGGAAGACAAGAGGGCAGCGGCGACACCGAAGAGCCACACAAAGCCCAACTTGTGTCGTCAAAGGTGCAGGTCAGAATTTGTGCATGACGGTGCATGCCTCAAGATTCAGTAACCTTGACGAACTTGATTATCCCTACTGACGTGGTTTTGAGGACTCGCCATCTTTGAGTTTTGCATGTCATCGCACTCGGCGCTCAACACCCCCTTTTGCTCGCTCTGAGGTTATAGACAAGGCTTGTCACCTGGGCGGTGGGGGGTGACTTATTATTGGCTGGTGCACCAGGTTTCTTGGGTCATTTGGATGTCGTAAGTGTGGGCAAGTCATGGGGCAAGCCACTGCAGGATGATTGGCTGCGTTGCTGCGTTAGATTGCACCCACTGACTGAGGTGGTGCAGACCATCAGGTGATGTATGGCTGGATAGCTTTGTACCATTTATATACATCCAGCTAGTTGCCTATTACCATTTGCCCTCAAGCATGAACTTCACCCACCCCCAGGTGTACATGTTCCACGCGTTGATTTACTCAGCTGCCAGCACTTCACTGGCCCAAGAGCGCGCCCTTTCAGCCGCCGGGTGGCGTGCGGTTTGTTGCACGGCCCCACATGGAGAAGCTGGAGGAGAACGAGTCAGGCTTGGTTTTCAGACCCAGCTTCAAAGTAGATCGAAAACATACCGCAGATGATGAGATGAGGGGTCCTTCAAAATTGATCAAAGATGTAAATGATCGAGGTGGATTCTCGCAAGCTTTGTTAAACGGACTTCAACCGTTGGCATTGACCTGTATCCAGATCATAGTCATCGTAGTCAATTGCAGGTACGCGACCCAGTCCGGTAGTTCAGCATGGTACGTACACATGAACTGTTTTCTACCCGGCCGACCCGGGTACATTGTTCTTTCATGTTCTTTCTTTGGATTTGGGTATTAAGTATATATATATATGCAATACATATGTATATAGTTATATAAGTAGTTATATACACATAATATTGTAAGTGCACACTGTCAATTGCTTTGGTCTACCATTCCCAGCTTCATTGCCCTGCAGAATTCCAAGTTTGCCACGCAGTGGTTGGTTCGGGGTATGTAGGTAGTTGTATAAGAACGACTGAACGGGGAAGACACAACCATGGCAGTGAACAACCTGCGATTGCCTAAACTAAACGAAGCCAACTGTTTTGGGCCAGACGCATGTTTGACACAGAGTGTTCCTTGCCATGAGCTTGTCAGAGTGTGAATTGTTGGGCGATGTGAGAGTGTTCAGCTGGCGAACTTGGCCGGCGAACTTGTGACTAAACAACTGGGGCATATCTAGGGCCCAATAGTGCCCTATAGAAGTCAGTGAGTGATGAGGCTGTGATTCCTTTAGAGGGCCAGCTTTGGAAACTTATGGTTCGGTTCCACCCCAAGCCCGTGCCACCGCCGGCCCACGCTTCAGCCGCGTTTCCCATCGGCAGGTCGTTGGCCTGAGCTCCACGGGGGACCTGAGGGTCAGTACCATAAAGAGGCCACGGGCCGATGGAGATCCCTGTCCCAGCCATCAGCGTGCCCTGGGTTCGCACTCAATATCGGAGTTCGGAGAGGATGGCCGGCGTTCAGACGACCATGGACGGTGTTTTTTTAAGGCTTTAAGGGGGATTAGGGGATATTTGTAAATATTCGGAAGTGACACTGAGAACACTTCTACGTTTGTGGTTGGTGGTTGATAGTGTGAGTGTAGGAGTGCTGTCCGCATATTCGTGAGGTGGCAACTGGACTTGTGTGTGTTGTTTTTTGCCCTTTGGCTTCAAAGGCTTGTATTTTGTTGTGCTAGACTGAGTCAGACTTGCGAGCTAATTGAGGCTCACTAAATTTTGGACAGTGTCATTCAACAGCTGACTCCCCGTCGGCCATGTTTGACCTTCAAGTTGTACGGCCGTTTGAAGCTCGCAGAAACTGAGAGATAGGACATATGATGAAACACTATAGACCTTTGAAGGTACTAGTAACAAGTGCATCGCTGATAGTGTGCATACAAGTGCGTTGCTACTAGTAGCAAGTGCATCGCTACTAGTAACAAGAAGCTACTAGACCTTGGAAGAGCTCCAAAAAGGGATTCTCACAAGGTAGTCAGATGCTCTGCACTATCACCTGGGGAGTTGGCCGACGCCGAGGCCACGCAGAAGCAGCACAGACGGCGGATCAGCGGTAGACACGACGGTGGATCCCGAAGTGATGGCCTTTCAGAAGGCGGCACGCCATGTGAAGCTGGAGACAGGCGACGGCGGGGGTTGGGAGTGTCATGAGAAGTTCGAGGAGGTTGCTTTGTTGGGCACTTCAGATTTTCCGGGCGCCGTCATTGTGGGGGGATGTATGATGAATTTGTCTTGGCGAAGACTTTGTCAATGCATGGAAAGTAAGGGTGCCGCCCCTCCATGAACAAACATCACACGCCTTTTGCAAAAACTGTGAGCAAAAAGGATCGAAGAATGGCTCCATTGAACTCGCGCAGATTACCGAGCGTATCATGGATAAAACGTGACAATGATGACAATGTCCCTCCTCCTTTTGAGGGAGCACTGGTGCTTTGGCATTGTTGGCTTTTTCAGGTAAGCTTTGGGACGCGGCCCAGCGGCGGCTGGATTCTAAGACCTTTGAGAACTTGAAGCGGCAGGAGGAGTTAGAGCGGGCCCAAGCTGAGGCGGGCGGTCACGACACGTCGAACACGCCGACACAAAGAAGTGGAACGAGCGAGTCTTGGGAATCATTGCTTGGAACTGTTGTGGTTTGCGGGGGTCGTCAGCATGGAAGCCACGCGTAGATCACGTGTAGACATCAGACGTATCATCTCTACTGGAACAGCATCATTTGCCGTTTCACAGGAAACCGCCTCAAGGGAGAACGACATGTACAATCATGTACGGAGCATGGGGCGACGAAACCGGAACGGACGTCGAACACGGACGGCCCTTGAGCCCAGGAACAGGTCCGTTCCTCAGGGCCTAAGTTTGGAACCTGTTGGAGATACGTCCTGGGGTGGGGTTTATAAGGTCCCGGGGCCAACATGGTCCAAGCATCCAAGCAAAAAAACACTTTGGGCAAATCATGACCACCTGGTGCACCTGAAGTGTTCGTTTGTTGCGTTTCACTTGTTCCTTGTTAGTTTCGTTTAGAGTCTAGCTACAAGCTGGACTCACCACCCTTGACTCGGAAGAAAGGTAGCCACGTCGAGTGGAATCCTCAGATGATCAGAGTGGGATCCCAGTATCAACCACTCAGAGAAGGAAGAAGGGAGTACGTGGGAAGGCTTGTAAGTATATATTCTTATGTATTGTGTATTGTATTGGGAGTGAGGAGCTTTGCATTTTGCTTTTAAAGAGTGATCGTTTGGCCTGCGAAGAGGCTCATGCGGGCACCTTCCTCACGACGCCAGTCGTTGTTTGTCGTCATGTCACCCAGGGTTGCTCCAGGCCCCAACTGCTTCGAACTCGTTTCAGGTGGCCTTTGAAAAAGCTCGGCTGGAAGCGACCTGGGCGATGCTGTGACTGGGCAGAACGCCGAAGGAATGGTTTCTCACACTAAGTTTTGTAAGCCATTTCACACGTGCACCAGGGAACATCAACCATTCTAATCATGATCCATTCTGACGTTGTAGTCAGTACATGTTGGTCTAAGATGGTCGAAGCAAGGTAGTTCCTTGGGCACTCGGCAAACCATTTGCAAGATCGCTCTTGAAGTTCCCATCCAGTTGCCGCACCAACTAAAATTTTACTTTAAAGTAGATCGAATTACGGCAAAGCTATAACAGTCTTACCACAATACGGTGTTCCTGTTGGATCAACACTCAGGCGCGGGCGATTTTGTGTGTTGTCGTAGGCACCGATTTTTTGCACCTGGTCAAAGTGGTCAGCAGTTGAACATGGTGGTCCCCAAATAGATAGTGGCTCAATACAATCCATTCTTGGTGATCTACGAACTTCTCTCTATTTGGGGTCTATTATACGGAGAGAAGAAAGTCATTTGACTTTGCTTGACCCCGTGGAACGGTTGCTGGTCCTATTTTCTCTAGCTGGGTAATGCACGTCGCGACGTTGGCGTTTCTTCATGTTCTTTCTCCACGGTATACCCATGTTGAGCCATACCAGGATACCCAAATGATCCAAAACGATAGTGTAGAGTGTAGTGCTGAAGAGAAGGCCTTTAAGAACCCGAGACTATCCCGAGACTATCAGAACCCGGCTTACCATGGCCTAGCAGTGCAGGCAATCCCCATGGGTCGTGACTCCCCTGGTTCGTGACTCACCGGTCCACCATGTAGCTTGACAGGTCAACCAAGGTGTCCTGGTTTTGGAGGCCAAAACCTGCGAAGAGAGGTTGAACAGCCTTATGGATCTTATAGCCCATCCCATATGTACCACTACAGGGTCTTATAAGGTCTCTCAACCTCTCTTGGTGGTTTTGGTCAACCGAGGACCTGGCACCTGTTTCATCCTTCCGCAGCCCCGAGGCGTCAAAGCGCCGACCGCCAGGCCTTGGCAGAGATCGCGCAACGGGCATCCGGGGGCGTCACTGGGACCGGTTGGAAATTGAGGTCGACAGATTGAAGGATATTGAAGGTCACCACTTCGAAGATGTCAAAAGCATAAAAAGCCAAGGATCTACCATCCCAAGATGTGTGAAATGCTTTGAAAAATACCGTTTGCAGCATGTCTTTTCCGCATTCCTTGAAGCAATTGGACCTCCAGGTGAACCGGGACTAATTACAAAGGATCGCCTCAATCAATCGGAGATTCTCTAAGAGCTTTCCAATGATGTTTGCGACTAGTAACACAAAGCTACGCACGGTGGAGGCCATCGCTATCAGGTTGCAGGCCGTCGCTACGAACGTAACAAGAAGCTAGTAGTTGGGGTCCGGGTTTCCACTTGAGGGCTTTGGAGCGGCGCACAATGCCTCACAGATATGTCCCGCCAGGAGATAAAAGCCCCATGATTTGCGGGATCCCAACTTCGTCACCAGAAACGATGTCGGACCGCAAGAAACACCGATGAGCTAACTTCCGCTGGCCATTTGCTTTCCGTTCCTTGAGCTGAAACAGCCTCCAAGGAAGGTCGGTGCCTCTCCGTGGAAAAGGCTCGGCAGCTCTTCGATCCCAGCGGCCTCGCGTCGTGCCGGCGGAGCGGCTCGAGCCGTCGGGAGGAGCGATCGGGAAGACTCTGGGGAAGACCGGTTGGCCAAAGAGGGCACGGGGAGCCCAAAAGGGCACTGTCTCAGAGGTGTGAAGATTTCCTAGGTGGTGGTTTCGGAATATGTTCAACCTAGGTTCAACCTTTACTAAACCCACAGACTATTGGTGCATGTGAGCTGAAACCGATATCGGCTTCAGGCCATGGGTGTCACCTGGCGTCACGTGTGGCCTCAGGAGAAGCACCGGAAGCCCCCCAGGCCCAAGGACCCCAAGGCCGCCATGGGTGGAGCCTGAGTCCCAAGGACAGGATCCCATGGGTCCGAAGGAATGAGCACATGGGATGTGGTGGGGGTGCTGCAGCATGCAGGTAAGAATCCGGACATGATCACTGTATATGTTACCTGTTACACGTTTTGTTAACAGTTAATACTGCTAAAATCTGCTAAATATAATCGACATATGAATGTTTACAGATATTTACCGCTAGAATGCCAACTAGAATCTAGAATCCGGCTATCAGAGACCCCTGCCACGGTAATCACACAACAACTCGAGATATCTCGAAGTCTACACTTGCACAAGTATAGGGCACGTCCTCTTCTTTTGATTCGTCTCATTCCGATGACGCGTTTGTTGCGGAGAAAAACCTGATGTATACGAGACTCGACTGTTGTCCATTTGGCTGCTCCAGGACCTGCCTTCATCCGATGGAATCCAAAGAGATGGACTGGCAGATGGGTGGAGCCGTCTCCCCGCAGCACTCCAGGTCCCAGGAGCACTCAGTTAGATGATTTTGTTTAGGTCCCAGTGCACGCGTTTGCACGCTTTGCTTTTCATGATTGGACAGAAAAATCATTGATCTCGCTAGACGCTTGATGCTGGGTTCTGGTAGCCACCTGTGATGGGGTGGCAGCCTTTCTGAGTTGAGGCAGCAGGTGAAAGAACTTGAGGGGTCATTGAGTGATATTGAGCTAAGTTTGGATGGTTTATGATGTTTTTTTAAGAAATAGACCTGGATCACTTGCCAATTCGGTCCATTGTGGGGCCGGTCTGCAGCAATTCGGTGCGCTCCACCACGACGTGGTATTCTCTCGCGCCGGCGAGCGAAGAAAAGTGCGGCGTGGCACGACCTGACACAGCCACATCACAGAGTGCATCCCATGAATTCATTGAGTAGCAATTCTTGTGACTCATAGAGCAAATAAGTACACATATATGTGTGTGTATACAAATTAGTCATGGATCATGTCGATTTTTGCATGTCGCTCGTCCAGGAGTGCCCGACCGGTCCAGGTTCCAGAAGCCAGCTTGGGTCATGCTTTTGGTTGCCCCGTTCGTAGCGTCCTTGCTCCTAGTAGTAAGGCCAGGAGCCCCTAGTAAGAGCCCCTACAGGCAACCAGGCCATGTCGTCACTTTTTTTGAGTGATTGCTACCCTGCCTTGGGGGAAGGCTCTGCGGAAAGCCGTCTCTTTTTCCCCAACACAAGCGAACTCTGTTGGTTGGAAAGGGACCTACTTTTAGGTTGTATGCTGGGGCTCTCATCGAAAGGTGTAGTAGCTTCTTGCTCCGTCCGCTGAATCACCTGAAGATTCCTGATCTTGCGGGCCCATTGATCATAAATGTCCAGGATGCCACGTCCAGCGGAAAGGCCACCAGGGGCGTTCTTCGCATAAACCGGCCGACCACATGGAGTCCAACCGCAGCTGTGTTTGCTCAGACCCGGCCGGCACGGAGTGCCGCGTGCCGGAAGTATGGTCCAAATATCGGCAGAAGCGATGAAATCTGCACCTGATTTGGTGCAGTGTCTCGATGAGATTAACAAGGACCCGACTGTAGGCCAGTGCGCGCATGTAGGTCAATTGGATTGCTTACATGGCCATCGGCAAACTGAAGGCAGTCGCGGGATATGATAGACATTTACTTGTAGCTAAAGCCCCTTGAGAACCGTGTCGGTGCAGTGTGTGGCTAGGGCCCGAGAAAGAACCGAGAAGAACCCTCTATTCTTAAGTATCCATGTCCTTTTCAAGACATCAGCAACCAGGACATACGGGGTGGTCTCTCTCGTTGTAGGTATGGGCTTCACTGTGAGATGTTAGACAAACCATGTAAAACGATACCAGCGCATGAACAACGATACCTGTGTCAGTGGATTTGCGTCTCGATGGATTGCTCGTTGCTCTTTCCAAGATTTGAAGTACACGGTAGTATGGACTGAGACTGAGAAATGACTAGGTTTGTGCTCATGGCCATATAGCCAAGCATTGTTCTGCTTTTCCGTATGCGTTCCAAACATATCCAAAAATGATATGCTGGAGCGAAGAAAACACACGATACCAAACCGATACCAAAAATGATGCCAAACCTACGAACATTTGCTAGACCCTGGCCAGATGCCCAATACTTTCAAGTGGAAGAAGCGACAACAGCATTAGCTTCCAAGACGCAAGAGACTGCTGTTGTGTCTACGGGTAGGTGAGGTGATGCAATGTGTGATTTCCCTTGGAAGACGACACCGGAAAATCAAAAAACGTGTGTGTTTTCAGCTATTCCATGCAATGGTTTTACTACATGTATGAAGATGATTTCTTTTGAGGGTCGTACAAGACAGTTGAACCTCCAACACCTGAGCACAAGCAAGCCGTGGCAGGGTCGGGGCGGCTTTATCGGGAAAAGACTTTTCCTTTCTGTTTGTGCTCATTACTTATCACCTGTACATGTCATTGCCTACTGCCTGCAAGCCCTAACAGCTGTTGCGCCATTCAAAGTTAGCCGCAAATCGAAGGAATGAGGTGCATAATGGTGCATACAATTCCTTCGTTGGCCCTATTTGGGATGCCATTTACCAAGACTGACGGACTGACGACTCGATTGCTTGGTGGAGCTCATGGCACCGCCATGTCCGATTCGCCACCCTTAAGAGGTCCAATACCTTTCGAAAGAGACCGCACAAACCGGACCCGCTCCGGGACCCGGTCCCTTCCGGGACTGGCCAGTGCTGACGCAGGAGCTACAAACCTCCACACAGTCGGTGTCGGATCAAATCCAGACTTTGCGGGACTTTCTGTCTCCGCCATCGGAGTTTGGTGGCCGCAGGACGAGCGACACCGGCGAGTTTTGGGGTCGGATTGGGTCGATGTCAAGGATGTCTTCTGATTTGTGGGTGGTGAATCAAACATGGAAGGAGAACTACCGTAGGTGGACGAATTATTCAAACCCTTGCAGACTTCACCCCCCTACCCCCCATAGTTCAATGTTGGCCTGTTGGTGAAGGAGGTTGGCTTGAGTGGACGAATCAAATCAAACCCCTGACAACAAAACATCTTTTCACTGAGACAACATTGAAATCGGGGGGTGCGGGGGTGGTGGTCTGCTATGGTGGTTTAGGGTTTGATTAATTTGTCCATCTACTGTAGGAGTCAGGAGCTAGCACCAGCTGCTAGCTGCCTAGCAGCTGCCTAGGTCCAGGCCATGTGGCCACGTGAGCGTGTGACAATCCATGTAGTTTTCTTGTATTGTCCTTGGTTGGGAACCAGGAACGAGGAGAGCATATAAAGGTGCAAACATGTTGGATTATGTGTTATTCCTGCCTACTTAGCCTTTTTGGTCCAAATTCGATGTTGCATATGGTCGGCAATGGTTGGCTAATGTTACAAGGTCCGCTGCGAGGTCGAGGTTGGCCTGGCCCGGCCCTTCTCCCCACCTGTTGTACGGGAGTCCGGGCGCCTCCCGCCGCAGGAGCTCACTCTCATCGCCCGCGAGCCCTAGGAACAAGCCTTTGAAAGAGCCCCCCGCCTTGCTAGCGCATCGGGGGATCAAGGCGGAACGGAAGCAGCAGCCGAAGGCGAAGCCAGCCGACGGTTGGGCGCACACGCGTGGAAAGGGATGCATTTGGCAGTGCTGCTTCAAGTCGAATAATTTCTTTTAGGGCATTAGGTGGTACTGCATAAGATCCTGGCTGGTAAACAGTAATTAGAGTGAAAAGTCTGCAAGAAAGTATTGGTTGAACAAGGCGTGAACATGTGTGAACCAATTAACCACAGTATGTAAACAAAGGGCTACAGCAGGGGGGCACAAAGAGCCATAGAACTGCGCAGTGCCCAACGAAGCTCTCCATGGTGATCTTAGGATGTACTGCCTGATCAGCTGCATGTGCCAGACTAAAGACGATTAAAGTAAGTGTTGAATCCCTTTGGGACAGCGCTTGGCACGCGCGCACACACACACAGACACACCCACGCGCGCAGACACAACAAGCCGTGTTCATTGCACCTTCTAGTTATAAGGGATCTACGATTGGATGATCCATCATTTTGAGAATTTCATTGGTTGCTGCCAGTGGCAAAGTGAAGTGACCCAGGCAAACGACGAGCGGATAAAAAGGTGTAGACCCCAGTGAGGAGGAGAAGGACGTTGCAGCGACGTTGCATATTTTGTGGATGAGGATTGCTGTGTGGAACACTTGTGTGCCGACCAGACTTATTGCCCAAAAGGCCTTTAGAAAAGAGTGAGCTGAAAGAAAGACCAGAAAAGAACACAAAAAAGGAGGAACGTATTGAACTTATGGCTAGACAGCCGAAGACATGGCTTAACTGCTCCGTCGCAGTTGCGAGGCCATAGTGGATAGAATCGGATTTAGAGTAGTGTAGGCCATGTGGTCTGTAAGATGGCAGAGATCAGGTCAGACCTCAGAGATCATGGGGTGCTTTCGGTCAAGAAGTCCGGAAGCGTGAACCGAGAAGTTCGACCATTGCTGGGGTTGGTTTCATGAATTCCACAGTGGGATGGTACCACAGGGTTGGTTTCACTTTGAAAAGGATGCATCTCACGGTGCTGATTCAAGCCCCAGACATTTAGTAGAGCTCTTAGACCTTGGCTGGTGAACAGTAGAGTGAAAAGTTTGCAAGAACGGTATTGGTTGAACAAGGTGTAAAACAATTGAATTGTGTAGACAAAGGGCTTTCACATGCAGCTGATCAGGCAGCATCTTGAGCTGGAGACACAGTGGAGAAGAGGTTTATATAATTCCTCCTTCATCATGTCCTTTTCACCCAGACCGCTGCAGTAATTACTTTGTCGTTGTTTCATTTGGTCACCTTCTCTTACATGGATTTGTGAATGGTCTAAATCAACTGCCCGACGTGCACCGACGTGACCAAGCTTAGCCGTATTTTTGGGGTGCAGTTCATTGGACGGTCACTCTAAGCATGCACCCATGCCCGACTGTCTTGACTTCAAGAGTCGATTCAAGAGGTTTCAAGCGTCAAAGGGCATTGCTACTAGGAGCACGGACGCTACTAGGGAGGGGCTCCTGGCCGTACTACTAGGAGCAAGAATCACTCCAACTGCTGAAACAGCTTTGGGTCAAGGGCCCGGAGCCTCCCGTTCGAACCGCGCAGACTCGCGCGCAGGTGGCGCCGACCGTTTCGGCCAGAACAGGCGGGGTGGCATGTGCCAGCTGAGTCAACGGAAGCCGCGTTGACAACGCGGAAATGCGGCTTCCCTGCAGGCTTTGACAACTTTGAGGAAGGACATTCCCTAAAAGGGCCACCCAATGTTGATGCACTTGATGACTTGATACTTACCTGGCTGTCATCAAGATTCTACAATTAATTGACTCTGACATGTTGATTCAAAAGTTTCTTTCTTTCACTTGAGAGTGGAACACTAGGCCTTTGGGGGCCACCGGATCTGAACTAAAGCAGCTGGCCTTGGAACTGTCCCTTCGCAGGCGGTGGCGGTGTGGACTCCACCCAGCTACGCTTGCACGGTCGTTGGATGGACTTAGCCACCCAGGCAGCCGAAGCGCCCACCTCAGACGCTAAGAAGAAGCTACTTGGCGTGGTTGTGGTTGTTGCGGCAAATGCTGCAGTTTGTGGTTGACTCCAACAGAGGTTGTCAGCTCCATATATATATATATATTCTTATGTATAAATTACATACTGTATATGTTCTATTAATTCATGTTTCACATTGTTTGACAACATAATTCTTGAAGCCAAATCCAGCGAACCTTGCAATCCCACTGGAAGAGACATTGGAGAAGATCAAATTTGCCAATCAGCTATAGTGATCCCCAAATTGATAGAAATGGTTTCCAATACAATTTTGGTGGGGATATACTTATCTATTTTGGGGGGGTGTATATAAGATTCAATATATTAATCTAATTTCATATGTTTTCACTGAAAGGATTCGAAAGGAGTAAGCCCTTGAGCCCCCCAAACTCGGCGTCCTTGAACAACCCTTGAGCCGACCCCAAACTGGTTACCCCCACTGCATTGTGATTTTCACGAAGTAAACGTGTCGAAATCAGACACATGCTGTGCGTTCAAGCTTTGACCTGCGTACCTCCGCACGACTCGCTATCAACAGATCCAATGCGCGACCGCATTCTGAGGGTGAGGACCAAGTTGCACCTGAGAATCCTGGCCTGGAATATGTTTGAGGGCAGGGCTTCGGATCTAAGGAATCGGCCTCCAGATGGTTGGACTAGTGAAAGCGGGTGAAAGCATTGAACATCATTACGCCGTCTACATGTTGGAGTTTGTGTGTTCCCACTGTTTATGACATGTGTGCAATTTGCCCCTATCAACCTCCCAGCCTCGGGTATTTCTGGGATCAAATGAGATTGGGGACTCGGGAACTCACGGAATCAGTGTTGAACTGAGAAAAGGTAACACTTAACTCAGGAGGATTGCTGGCAGAAAGAACCACAAAACAACGGGATTTTGAGAATCTACCAAGAATTCTTAGCTTTTCGTAGGGTTCAGATAATTAAGGGTATGGGGGCTTCATATGGAATAAGTATCCCTTACAGGATCTTACAGGTTGATGTTAGAGCAACTCCTGATGCGTTTGCAATACATCATGCCATAAAGGATTGGCATGTTCCAATGGAAAGCACACCAATGAGTTATATGTATGTGTATATAATGTATCTACATACATACATACATACATACAATACAATACAATACAATACAATACATAAATATATATTATACACATACTATATGTGGGACAGAATGTGAGCGAACAGAAGCAGTAACAAATCCAACGGAAACATTGCTTCTACTTTCGTGTGGGATGGTATCTAACTATTTTTATTTCTTTCGGGGTGGTTCATTGAATTCTCACAATGAGTTTTGGGAGTTGTCGAGCTTGACCTAGGCGCAATTGTATATATATATATATGTCTATATTACTATATGTACGTATTCAGAACTTGACATGAATCAACCCACCAACGCCTCGTTGATGTCATGTTTTGGGGATGTGTTTGCCACAGACTGTTTTTCACGGGCTGAACGCTTCTGGTGCAGCAGAAGCAGCGTGTTCCGCTCAGCGGCGTTCCGCTTCGCCGGTCGCTGCCCAGGTTCCGAAGGTGACGTTGGAAAACGCACCGCCTCGCAGATCCTGGGGATCAAGTTGATCCTTGGCGGGTCGGGAGCGAATTTCCCTGCGCGGCAACAGCCGAGGGGGTACGTCGGATTTGGGAGACACTCAAGAGCTGAGGTTGGTCAAACAGTGCAAAATGCAAGTCGTATAGCAGATCAATATGGTGAATTTGCATGGCAGAATGGAGATGATGTCATTGCATATTGTACCTGTAACGCACTCCCCTTTTCGGGCACTGGCATTCCTAGACCTCACCTCAGGTGACGAAGGCCCTATACAAGGAGTTTCAATTTCAATAAAATGATGAACGTTTTCCAGACCACTGCCAGTACATCAGGGCCGTGTGAATCATAATTACTCATTCAATTCTAACTCTTTAGCCGCCCTTTTTGGCCCATAAGTCCTGATTCGAATCACCAGCTTTGGGGGGTACATCTCGGTCCTCTCTCTCTCTCTATATCCATTTGCCCTCACGGAATCGACGTGGCTCGGCGCCGCTCTCCTCCTATCCACGAGGATCAAACCGTTTCATCCACACAGCGCGTTCCGAATTTGCTGGGATCTCACTGCGCACCTTGGCGCCCACGGATCTCGCCACGTGGGTCGTGGGTGTTCCGTCGCCCCACGTGTCACTCGTACGCCGCGCGAGGTGGGTTACTTCATGCGCCGCCTTACAGGCGGATGGTGCTTGTTTGATGGTAAGAAACTCCTGGTAAACCTGTTAACTGTGTCATGATTGTGTGCAATTTACAACCACCATGCCACTATCAATCATCTTAAAGGTGCCGGTACTAGATCATCCATTTTCATCCTGTTGTGTCAGACAGTTTGCTGGGGACCTGCATTGAAAGGTGCACATTGTTTTGTCTTCGAGTTGATCATGGTGTAGCGTCATTATTCACACATAATGACTCTCCAACAATTGGACTTTCGACCCTAAATCTTGACCAGGGAGCCACCCAACACCGGTTACCCGGTTGGAGCAGAAAAACATCTCACATGTTTGAGTGCTGTTTGCTCCATGAAGTTGGTGTTGTCCCATTCACTGTGGCACACCCCAACCACCTACTGTGGCCTTGCAGCCATGAAGGGCAGCTTTTAAAGCATGTGGCGATGATAAGCGATGTCATCATCCTTGCCCAGTCCTGCGCACAACGGAACCGTCATTCTGTGGGCACTTTGCTCTCAATAACCATCAGCAAATAAGTCAATTTTGTGTGTTAGCACTTGCATTTGGGTCTCATACATTTTGATGTCTTGTTCGTGCCGCCCAACCCTAAGTCCCGAAATGGACGCCAGATGTCACCTCCTTAGCAGCTCCAGCGGCGATGGTAGTACAACACGTGCATCCAAACATGAGAACATGAGAGTCGACAGCAGCAACATCACACTCCCAATAGCCAACCGTTACACACCCATTAGCCACTCCCCACATCCGTCTGGTCGCTGACACACTGACTGTCGACACGTTCAACCAGTCGCCTGTCTCGTCGTCTCCAAGGATGGTTTTGATCTTCGGGGACACCGTGCTGTTGCCCATTGCACTGGCCTGGGATATCTCGATGTTCGATCAGAGCGGCCAGGGACGCAACCTTTCTTTCCTAGGCGGGGTCCGTCACCGGGTCCTGCGGTGGGTCCTGCGGCGGGGCTTTTGCCTTTCAGAGAAACAAAGCATCCGTGTGGGTGGTGCCTCTAGTATGAACATGTATGAAGCACTTTCGATCCGGGAGCCTCTCAGAATTTCAGATTTCCAGGTGCCAATGGATGGATCATCCCAATTCTAGAAGATCGACCCGCATTTGATGGAAGATAGGAGGGGTCTCAACATATTATATATCATGTTGCTTGAAGCGGATAGGTCAGGATTTGGCAGTTGATTGAGCTTGCAACTTGGCAATTGCAACCAACCATGACCAACCTATAGATTTGATAGACCTGGGGGGTAGCAGTCATTTGGGCGTGGGAGCATTTGTAACACCTTTGCTTGACTAGCAGTGCCAGACTTTGGTACTTGCGCCGTTCCGCCTGGGAGCGTCCTCCTCTCCAGGCATGCAGCAAAGCCAGCCAAGCCAAAACCATGTTGGCTCACAATAATAAGAGGATCAGGATGTGATTGGGTTCCTGGATGCACCTTCGAACAGAAGGAAAGCAGATAATTACAACACCCTCACCATAGAGCCAAAAACCGGCCAAGGGTGTCTTGAAAGAGGCCAACACAACAGGTGTTGAGAGAGGATGATGCACCACAGTAGGATGTGAATAATTGCACCATCCAGGCCAATGTTCAACTCTTCTTGATTTGCTGGAGGGTTTTGTGTCTTTTTTTGATTGGTGTCTAAGAAAATGGCTGCTTGTCCATGCCAGGTAGCATGTTATACGTCAGCTTTTGGATTAGCTTGACCTTTTGGACCCTCGATTTGGCGGTGAACCTCAACACGGCCACTTATCGAAAGGGCACGCTGTTGACCTCACGCACACGGATTCTCATCAGCGCCTCGGTTTGATAACACCCCACGGGACCCCTGGGCTTGTGGGAGATTTGAAGCTTATGAACGCTTTGTATATATATATATACATATAATATTACTGTGGCGCATGCTGCATGAGCGTTCAAAGATTCAAGGGCGAGGTGCAGACTACATTCTCTACTCACCACGGCAGGTTGTGATAGCCGGTCCTGGTTAATTGTCACGCAAGAGGACCACATGCACATGTTGATGCTTCACTTTGGCACTGTGCTGAAGAACTGCCTCACCCCACCAGCTTGGATGGAAGGCAATCTCCACGGTGGACACACATACTTCAGGCAGACAAAAGATTATGCTTGTTAACCATGTTTAAAACCGCTGTAGGGTCATCTGCGGATCGAACTACCAAGTCCAATTTTCGCGACACGTGTGGGACAGTCAATGATCATGCCGTTTTGGTAAGGGTTGACATGAGTTTGTGCTTCAAGAAGCACAACTTTTGTTTGGCCAGTGTAATGTTTGCTCAGCACATGGCAGTATAATTACTAATAGCTTCACCCACGCAGGTGCACAACCCAGGCAACACACCCTTGCTCCTCTCGTGCTTGAACAAGTGTCGCTCTCTTTTTGCTGTCGCGCTTCGTGCAGCTCAGACGCTGTGTCCAAGGCTACATGACGGGATGGTTGACCTTCGACCTTCTCCTCCTGTGCTTTGATATTGTTTATCTCACCAGCGAGTCCTATGTTTCGGTCGAGTTTCGATTGCTAAGAGTGACCCGGATCCTACGCCTACTTCGCCTGCTCCGGATGCTCAAGCTGACGAAGGTCACTTGGTGAAAAGGCATGTTTTTGCGGCGGGTGAACCTGGCCAAGGCTCATGATGGTGGAAGAAAGGTGGCCAAGGTAGGAGACACCACGGACCACGGCTGCCATTTCATGGATGGTAATTGTAAGTACACGTAAGATCACGTAAGTATTGTTAAGTTGGATCATGTATGTTCACTTCAAGCAATCCAATTCAAGTCTTTTCGTGAAGTCCAGACTGAATGGAAGACCAAATTGATGATCCTTGCAGGCAATGGCCCTTACAATAGCATCACATTGATGCAGAAGACCCTTGATTCACGAGTGTCAGCTTATGTCAGTTTTCTTACTGTAAATTTCTGGAAGCCACTTTGCGGCCCAGGTGACCCAGGTGTCCTCAAAACAAAGGCAAACGTCGAGCTGACACGGGTCCAGGTCATGGGTGACGACGACTCATGTCTCAGACCGTGTAAGAAGTATCAATCAACTGCGGATTCAAACACGAACACCCTTCCTTTGATCTCCCTACCGGCTATTTACACGAACATGTAATTACACTTATAATTATATATCTAGCCTGGCTTCTTCTGACACAAACATGATCAAACATGCATAGCCAGAACATTTGACTGATAGTCAGCTATAGTCAGAACTCTTTCTGACTATTGGTTAGGATTCAGGAATATAGGATAATCGTCAGAAAATAGTCTAACCTGATAGAGCTATGTCTCGAACTGCGGCGCCCTGGATGCCCTGGCCCCATGTTTTCGCTGGGACCAACTGAGAGTGACGACTTCACGTAGGCCGCCACCGCCGGGCCGCCGGAAATTCCATTTGACAGGTCAATAGCATCATCGAAGAGAGTGCGGCCAACAGCGGGCGTCAGTGGGTGACCGTCGTGATCGCGATCGTCGCTCGGTGGATCGCGGTTCGGTGGGAGTTCTCCCAGTGTAATTGCATGGAGGCTGGCCCAGATCTGGTGCACCACCATCAATCTATATGGTATATATGATACACTTCCAGCCCACAAATCAATTCCGGAAATTGGAGTCACTGAAGTGCTCATATGTGCTCATGTTCATGTTTTCCACGCCCTGATGTGTTGCTTAAGGCAAATGGGCACCCGCGCGCATACTCCCCACCCTGCATGTTCCAGCTCTGAGCAGCAGGGCCAAAGAAGGGCCGAAGTTCCAATCGCCAGACACTCCATGTGCAAAACACCCCACAAGATATGTATGTTATATTCAGCAGACATACATCCCATGTGTTAATTTACATTTTTTGGATTTGGATCTATGTCTGTTTGCTAAAGTGTATATATTGTATGCCATCCATGGAGCGTGATCTGGGGATTTGTTCCGGAAAACTTCTGCGGCATCCGTCAGAGACACACGCCGCTCAGGTGAACACCACGATGCTCATCCTGGTTTGCGTGCACATCCTCACGTGCATGTGGTTTTGGGTGGGGCGCCTCACCGAGATCCCAGTCTATGAGGTCTCAGAAACTTTGAACGAATATGGCAACCTGGACGCAGCATGGTGTGGTTTGAAACATGCCAAGGGGCAGCCTGCAACATGCTACCATGAAGATCCAAGAAGCACTCAGAAGCACTGAAGCTGCTGATCAGCTGCTGATTAATATTCCAACCAGCTGGCGAAGAGGATTGGTTTTTGTTGGCCTAGAATCAGAAGGGCTTCATGGATTGCATGGGTTACGGAATCCATGACTAGCAGCCAAGCCTCAACGAAAGGATCGGCACATCGCACATGGAAGTGACATCCGACTATACCACCGTACTATACAGCAAAGTGAATCGTAGATGCAGCCCAGCCCAAGCCCCGGTCTTTGGATATAGGCCCCATGGTCTTTGCTTGAGGCTACCCGCTGACCCTCACTGGAAGTTGGACACAGCTCGCCTTCGCCACGGATCTCAACGTGCATCCCGCCCTACAGTACCTCCATGCCATGAGATGGATCGTGAATAGCCCATCTCCGCCGGTGCTTGACCCCAACAGTGGCCTAGAACGAGGCCCGTGAAACGGCGCGCGAAAAGCTCGGGCGCGCGGGCCATGCGAGGGTCTGAAGCCTTTGTGTATGGACAAGGATTGGGTCAAACGATGTGTTGAAGGTAAGGTAGTAAGGTAAGGTATAAGGTGTATAGGTATATATTGTTTTTCCAAGTTCTTTTTCCCCTGTTCCAGATTTCGAGTGGTTCATGTCACTTAAAGCCTTCCCAGGATGTCACGTAGGGATACATGATACTTATAGGGGCCATCACAAGATCAGATTGAAGAAGCTGGCAGATGTGGACAGTTTCGCCTGTTCCATGCGACAGTTCCCCCCAGCTCCAGTGGATGACTCGAGAACTAGCACGCGTGCCCGCACTCAAGAACTCTGTGACCAGATCTATAGCCATCTAGCGGTATCTCGATCAGTAACACCCTGGATTCCAACAAACATGCACATGGAACATGGCCCCTTGGAAGAATGTGTTCCTCTAACAAACATCGTTGGACCCGTTCCAGACAAGTCCCGGGGCAAGGATGAGGGATGGCATTGGGATGGCAGGGTCGTTTCGAGATCACTTTTCTTCTTGCCCGAAGCCTGTGACAGACCGCGAGTGCGACTATCGTTTCCAAGCCGCATGGGCATCCAAGCCTGATCACGAATTCAATGGGCATCATCCTCTCCAAAAAATAGAACAGCACGGGTCATTCTGCAACCATCGCATTTTGACGCACACCCACGTGGGCTATTGCTGCCAGTGTCGCCTTGGTCGAAACGCGACCGTCTCTGTCGGACCGCCCCTCCAACGTCGCGGCGCCAGGCCTGGACATCGCCGTGTCCATCTTCGTGATCGCTGTGATCGGTTCCGCGGTCTCCAAGATCAGCGGGACCTTGGCGGAGTTGACGCTGAGCGGCAGACGTCGCGACGTGTCGCTCCGTGTCGGTCCGTGGCGAAAATTCGATCCGCAAATCGGTGGTCCATGGCTGGGTGGGCGGCTGGGCGGTGGGATTGACCGGATGACATGGTGTGAGTGACATTGGGGTCAGAAAGGCCTTAAATCCTCTGGATAATATGATATGATGAACAGTTAAGACAATCAAAGTGTTGGATGGATAACTATTAATTATGGGCTTGATTGTTGAAGAGCAAGCTTGCTTCATAAGTTTCAAGCCTCCTTGCACCTCGTGCTTGGAGTGCTTTTTAGACGGATCTTTCGGACAGAAGGTTGTTTTTCTGTTTCTGGGAAGTGCTCGATGCATCTCCCCATGCATGTGTCGGTTGCAGAACTTCTTCTTGACCGAGTTGAAGAACTGCAGTGTAACATGCTGCGGACTCAACTGCGGGTCGACCAATGGTGGATGGAAGTTCTGGAAGTGGCCGGGCTTGGCTACTTCCGATAACAGCTTCTGTCCTATGAAGGCCAAGGAAATACATGCATGCTGCATACAGCATACATCAACTGTGATCATTGCTCACAGGTCTTGTTTTTTCATTTCTTGTCATTTCTAGCCTATAGTTCTGGCTGGTGCTTACTTGGTTGACAATTAGGAGATTTGAGTTTCAATCACTCATCCCTCCATCCCACGAGGAGAGCCATGAACGAAGCGAGAGATCGTCGAAGGCGCGAGGTGCGCCAGTACCTCAGCAGCCAACATGTCTCCTTTGAGCTCGTGGGTCGCATCATGCGCTTTGTGGACTACAGGCACCGGTGGTCCAGGGAGGTCTCGTGTGTCGCCGGGTGCCACCTAGCTGAGGCGGTTCAAGTCCTGAGGACTTGGGACGACTGGACGCGGCAGCCAACGGTGTTTCTATATCATTAGACATGGCGAAAGCCTCCGCACTGCGAGGAAAGTTCCGAGAAAGTAAACATGTGAAATGCTTGTGTGAGATTCAGCGGGAGTTGTTTCAATTGTTTCTTGTTCTGTCCGTGTCGCAGGCTGGAGAAGTTTTCCACCACAGCACTTGATACATCCCTGATTTCGCCCACCTTGCAGCTGGAGTTGTACGTGGGTCAGCGAAGCAACTACGTTCTTGAAATGCCCATTTTCAAGCTGCTGAACGAGCCTCGCTGTTGGTTTCCCGATGGCCCGGCAGATGCCCCAAGCACGACCTCGAAACCAAACAATCGCATCCGATTGTGTTCGCAGCACTGACCAACCGCCAGCCGCCAGCGAGGTCCCAAGTCTTTGCTGCGAGGTCCCAGGTTGCTCAGGCCAGTTGAAATAGAAAGTCTTGGGAAACAAGAGGTGCCGTTTTGGAAACAGCCTCCACGAAGTTGTGCCATGCTTATTGACATGCCAGAGGAGCCCCATGATTCAATGATTCTACTTTTGGCCCATTTCCAAAGATACCGTAAGGATGGACGGGTGAACACCTTTTCAGGGCCACAGCTGAGGAATGCTACCACGATGTGTTTGGATCGGTTTGCGCGGCGCTAAACAAGAATGTGCCTCAGAAGCAGCATTTGCCCTTGTGACGAAGGAAAGACGGAAAACTGAGAGACTGCTTTGCCAAATATCATGTACATATTACTGTAATAAAGGTGTCAATCTCTTTGTTGTACAGCATGGAGGTCTACATATAATTACCCTATACTCTATAGGTGTGTATTGTGTATATAGTTATTGTGTGCATTAAAATAGGGAGACCCCCCAAAGACCCTCTGGAAGATGAAAATACACCAAAAACCTATATATTGGCTGGGGACCTCTATATTACAGTGTTAAAAACACACGCCCCATATATGTTTTTAGTCAGCACTTGAATTCAATTTCCCATGGTCTTAATATGTTTGTCGAACAAAAGACTGCCAGTTGGGAGCTAGTTTCATCGGACTGGTCCCCAAGTGTAGCATACCCGTTTTTCAGATGTAGAGCACTGCAGATTGCGATGCACATGAACATCACACACACACATACATTTACTGATTTGTTATATTTGTTGCGATATATTGCCTGACTGTCCCGAGAAAGCTGAGATGCCCGCACACCATGCTCACCAGTGAACGCACTCAGGTCTACGAGAAGGAAGAGAATGTCTTTGTGGCCGGATCATGGGTCTCCTACCTACACATCACCGCAACCGGCACCTATGACTACATTGAAGGCACCGGAACAGAGAGCCGTGAAAGGGGTTTTCCAAAACCACAAACCACATTGCACCTGGCGTGCTTTGACTGGAAAGGTGGGTTGAACAGCTTATTATTGCTTCAATCAAATCCACTGAATGCGATTCAACCACCCTTCCCATCCAACCTTCTCGGGCCTCTTGAGGTTCCCACGACGAACTCAGGGAATAGATGTAAGGGCAGGAATCGGCTCACGGACGCTGCCACAGGCTTTGACCAAGAAGGTGAATGCCATGAATTCTCGGGCGTCAGGCCAGAGTTTGCTGTCGGGTCTTGAGTTTCAAGGAGTCCTCCTAGTTTTCCACAGGGAGAAACTGACGGTGTTGCAACCACCTTCAAAAGCCACGGTTGTGCATGCCCCTTTTATGCCTTTTTGGTCATTTTGGTTTGAGATGTTTGGTCGGTAGCATGGCTAAATGTAACGACGAGTGGTAACAAAAAAGAGATCAAAGGCAGCTGTTCACGGCCTGTGGATGTTCAAAACCAGGATTCCTTGAGATTCCTCTCCACCAGGAGTCACAGAGCTCGGGGTGGTGTTTAGTCCCGAAGTGGGATGTTCTGGGCGCCCCCGACTACCTCCATGGATAGCACCCGTTTGAAACTCTTGGCAGATTGATTTTCTTTGTTGTTCAGTTAGGGATGATTTACTAGTACCAAGTCTTCCTAGTGTCAGCCTGACGCATTTGGCCTTTCCTGTTGTGACCCCTCCTGCTGCGGGAAGGGGTCCAGCCAACACTCTCAAGAAGAAGAAAGGAGGGGACTCTATGTTTGGTGGAATGTTGTCCCTAGTATGGTGTTGTGAGAATGATTGCCCTCAACAATCATGGCTACGTTGCAAGAGTCTTCCATTTTTCTTCCCGCGCCAATGTGAGGTGGTTCGGTGAGTTGAGCCTTTACACCGAGGGCACGCTGCATCAGTCGGGGCGCCAGGACATGGTGTGGTTCGTCAGACATATGCTTTGTCGTGGTTTGGGCAATTCAGCGGCCAGTCAAGAGAACTGGCCTACTCATCGGAACGGGCACTTGACAAGTGAAAGGTTGAAATGGCCTTGACAAGGCCAATAGTGAATAGTGTGTGGGCCAAAGGCTCCGCCAAAGGTCTCGTATTTACTGCATACATGCAAACATATATGACAGCTTAATATATAACGTACAAATTGTGTATACACATATATATATATATGTATATATGTATAGAAAAGTGACGTGTTTGTGTGTGATGAAGAGGTTTGATGACTAGTCAGCTGATGAAGAGCCACATGATGATGTTTGATGCTGTGTTTTGCGATGTGGTGACGCATGCTGAAGTGTCACCGTGGGGATGTGTGAAGGGTAACGTGATGAGCTCCAGTGCAAGGTGGTGAAGTATAGGTTGGTGAAGTGTATCATTCGGCAGCCTCCAAATTACATCCAAACCTGCACGCACTGTGCTAACAAACGGTCATCATGTGATTCAACCAAGTTGAAACTTCTGCTTTTGGGCCATTGTTCACATTCACTAGTAGCTTCTTGTTCCTGGTAGTAAGGCCAGGAGCCCCTACTACCTTGCTCCGTTCGTAGCGATGCCAGGAGCCCCGAACGTAGCCTCCTGGCTCTTTTCTTTCCCCCACGTTTGCTCGTTTGGACGCCCGACGCAGCACGTGTTCGCGAAGGTCCTCGTTGTCTGCGCAGAGCTTTGCAGAGACCTTCACCTTATCGGGCCAAGACCTCGCGGAGTGTGTGAAGCAGTCCAGGGGATGCTTCTGGGACTGGCAGTCGGTCAGCTCCCTAAGCCCACACGGGTCATATGATGTCATATGTGTGGCTTACTACGGGTCATATATGTTGCTTACTAAGTTGGTCATATATATATATATAATATGTATATGTGACGGTATTTTTTCACTCAGACCCCCCCCCGGCACCCAACAATGAGTTGTGGCCTATGGCCTATGGCTCCAAACCTTCCAGGGGGGTCGAACTCTGGGGTCTTCCTGGCCTCTTCTACACCCATGTTTTATCATGGTTTACGGGCGGAGATCCGATCGATGCCTTGATGCAGGGTGTGTTGGATGAAAGCAAGTACTGGTACGTACGAAACATCAACCCCGCCAAAAGCAAAAACAGTCATTGGAAGAAAGTGTAATTTGAGACTGTGCTCAGAGACTGGCTGCTCTGAGTTCGTATGTGTTTTTCTTGGTTGCAGCCCCCATGATTGCGCACAAAGCGACAAAGCGCTGATTCATTGGATCGTTAATACTCCTCACTCACGGACATCCAGCCACGGCGAAGGTATGTCTATGTTTTGTGACTACGCCAAGGACGGGAGAATTGATTCTGTGACACTCAGATGAGGGTTGCACAATTGTAGAGTGCTGGCTGGTCACATGATTTTTGAGCAGATACTTTCCCCCGTGTTTTGCATCAATAACTGCATGGCCCTCAAACCATGAAAGAATGAGGGACGAGCTGCGGCATGTTTTGGCATAGGCACTCAAACTCAAATGATCTACACATGTTTGTATATTCTGTTGCAGCTTCCGTGCTTTTCGACCCCTGGTATTCTTATACCCGGCATTTCTTTTTCGCGAGGACTTTGTGTCGGCGATGCAGGGCACCGCCACGAAGTGTGGAGATGCGGATCAAGTGGAGAAGGCGGAGGAATGTTGCAAGAAGAACCAACACTACCAGGAGTGAAGACGAACGTGGTGCGTGCGTGCGACGAACGACGAAGAGAAGAACGAAAGTGGTGAATGAGGAAGTAGACCCTACTCACCACCTGGTCTTGAGACCAAAAAAGGATCCGGTAAGCCTTATATATTCCACTGTCTAAGCACCAGTCAGAGGAATAAAGTTGGTGGCGGCCACTGACGGTCAGAGCAGCTTAAGGTAGAGCCACGGTAGAGCCACAGGCTAAGCTTGAGTGGTTGAATGTGGTTTTCACGGCAACCGGGGGAAGTCGCACATACAGACGGCTGAAGAGATCGTGCAGGCACCGGCGTGTGAACGCCAGTGGCCCGTTGGAGGCAGTGGCAGTAGGCCGTGACAGGAAGAGTGCACCCATCCCATATCATCCCATGTAACTTCCAGTGAAGGTGTCACGAAAGAACGAGGGTCCCAGGTCATGTTGTATATATATATATATACAGTATTATTCTTTTTTTTGCTGGTGATGTGTGCCTCACAGGCGCTCTTGAGTGCCAAATACCATTGCAACAAACAACAAGAGGCCAGCATCGGTTCTGGACCAGTCACATATCACAAACTGTAGCACGACCATTGGTTCAGGACCGTGACAATTGCCAAGCAAAAGGGCTGTGGATTTGAAGAGTTTTGTAGTTCAAGCTATTCCCCACTCTTCTCAAAAGACCAGTTTCTGGTCAAGCTGGCTTCCCCAGAACCAACTGAAGGCCGCATGGCTAGCACCTGAGGAGTTGTATCCAGATCCCAAGACGCGCTTGCACAACATCCAGATCCCCAGCACGGCGAGCACCGGGGGCGAGAGCTCCGAATTATCCGCTTTCGCACCCGGTGAGCAGGCGAGACCAGGGAAGAACAACACGACAGTGCTAAGACTGTGAAGCTGACAAGTTCTTCAGCTCAAGTTCTGATCCTGAAGGACTTTGAGTTTGCATCCTTTCTCCTTTTGTAACGATTCCTGCAGTCAATTTGGTGTTTCTTTTGGAATGTGGTGCCCAAGCCGTCGCTCCACTCAGGCGCGTGACGAAGAACGCACAGAGAAGTCGGAGGACGCTCCGGACTGATTCGGTTGGGAGACTCTCTCGCGACTCTCTCGCGGGGGGGGGGTTAAGACAGACGCAATCAACCAGACCAATAGAACCTTTTGGCACTGTTCCTTGTAGATGACAATTGATGACATATAAAGATTCATCACCGCATCACCAATTATGAAACTGTATTGTTTGGAGTATAATTTGGTATTTATATAGAACAATGTATATTTATGTATTATATCGTTGCACATTCCATCTCCTTCTTACCATATATGCTTTTTACATGAAACACGAGGGAAACAGCAAGTTGATTGAGGTTTCGCAAGTCAAGGCCACCGCAGGGAGTGGATGCACATGGCCCCGTGGCCCCTCCACGCCGAGCTTCCCAGGGGAGGTGGGAGGTTGAAATGACGTGGGACGGCTGCAACGTTATATATTTATATATAGCTGCTTGCTGCTTGGCAAGCGTTTTTTCAGTCTGAAATGGATTTCCGTCCCCTAAAACAGGGTTGGGCAGCCATGTTGTTTATTTTCGACCCGTAAACCCGCATATTGTGCCACTCAGTCTACAAGATTTGAGGTCGAAAAAATCGAAAAACATGGGTTTGACATGCTTTGACCTGACACTCCCTGTAATCAGCATCCTTCAATGACCATTTGTCCTCTACAAGCAGGTGGAAAACCCCCTTCCATTGGTCTATGAATTTTCAGGGGCGGCTGCTCCTTCTTTGTGGCTCTTCCAGTTGCAGGTCCTGCGGTTAGTAGTGTCCCGGACTGCTTTGCCAGTAGTTTCAGAGTAGATGGCACTGATGGGGGTCCGTAGGACCACCACCGACGTGGGGATTGTGCCATCGAACCTCTGAAACCACTATAATACCGGTTCTCTATACCAGTTTTATATACTATATATATATATACCACTATATATTATAATGACTATATACCACTATATACCATGAACTCTTTTTTTCTACAAGACCAGTTCTGGGCAGTGTAGCAACATCCGCATGGCGTCTCAGCGGTCACACGGACATCGCAGGAGGACAGAGCATCAACGGAGAATCCGTCGCTCCACTCGGTGTCCAAAGAAAGCTTGGGGGATTCAGTGCCTTGGCAGGCTGAAGACGGCTGAAGAGCAAGGGTACCATCATGGAACTCGTACGTGTTACATGAAAGTCCCTCAACATTCCCAAACAAAAAAAAACCAAAGAATCCCGAAGATACCAAGAAGTAGCCACTAACGTCCACGCAAGCTAATTTCTCCACACCGATGTCTTCACCGATGTCTTCAGAACCGAGGTGAAGAGTGCTCACTTTGACTTGGTGGACTTTAAGCTCAAGCGCGAGAAAGCAAAAGGATTGACGGATCCAGGCTTGCCGGTATTCCTGTGGGGTGTCTTTCCGGGTTCTTGGCAGACAAACCACTGACTACACTCCTTTCATTTCAGTCACTCCAATCAGAAGGGCCATGGCCATTCTTTTAGCTTGGAGGCCATCGCTCTTAGGTTGGAGGCCATTGCTATTGGGTTGGAGGCCATTGCTATTGGCTTGCCATATTTGCTCCATCCATATTCGCTCCATCTGAGGCCTGGGCGGTTGGTTGTCTGCGATGATGAAAGCAGGGCAGAGCGTGGAGCTCGATGAAACCCTCCCAGCCAAGTTGCAGGACTGGTGGCTTTCCATTGCGAATCAAGATCGCTCATATCAAAGCATATCGAAGCTGAGCAGCTAAGTGCTCAGACTTTCCATGGTATTTTTATTTGAGAAGCTCAGGTGGCTGAGGCCTACAGCCACCACTATACGTGGCCCAGGCTGTGGCAGAGCAAGACCACACACACAATCACACACACACGTTGCGTGGTCTTGCTTCGTATTTGGCGATGCGACCAACTCTTCACAGAAGGGTTCTGTTTTGATGGTGCCACGGTGATGTTTCAAGTTTGCTGGGCTGATTTAGGGTACAAACAATTATGGTCAGCCCTCCAAAGATGTTTGATGGTACTTTCATGTACTTCCACTGTTTGTTGCACCCATGTTAGATTATTGTGATACAAATTCAGGATAGTAGTAACAAATTGAACATAGGCCGTGGTGGTCTAGGCAGCAGTAGCTTACAAATGCTTACAATATGGTTGCACAAATTTGTACATTCTAGATAGCTTAGTAACAGCACAAATAATGGCCTTGTCAAGACAAAATGCTATTACCGTGTCTTTTTTCCAAAGACGACCTTTGTGTTTTCAAAAGAAACGGCGCTTTTAGGCTTCCAAACATCCAAACGGTGTCTTTAGGCATCCAAACGGCATCTTTCCCCATCCATGGATTTTGACCACATGTTATCATGTTTGCTACCCCTAAAATGGCACGTTTTATTTTTGGATATAACGGTGTGAAAAATGCATCCGACAAAAAACATGTGCCGTTTGAAGATCCAGGAGTTATATATATATACACATGCGCATTTTAATACATTTTATATTGTATGCACTCCAGGGCTAGGATTTCTTTTAGTGTACTTGGTGCAGAGAATCACTTTGGTTGGTGCAGAGAATCACTCTGGATGTTTCTTTTCAGATTCCTTGTCATAGGCTCTTACAAGATCTTACAAGGGTGAAGCAAGGTTCCAGCATTCTCGAATACATTGAATACATTGCTTATCCTACTTGCCATTCCTACTTGCCAATTATTATTCGCAATTGACCATGCTAAAGGCTGATTTGAAAATATTTCTAATCACCCTTTGGCCACGATTTCCACTCCCTCAAGGAGCTTTTACCCGAGCTCAGCCCGGAATTCTCTCCACACATCGTCTTCGAGCAGAACGCCGAGCGCGACCGTGCAGAATCCTCCTGTGGCTCGGAAGCACCGGATCCAGTTGAGACCGGTCTGGCCCTGTCAGCATGGACCCTTGGGACCTCTCACCTGGTGCCGACACGGAAAACCGGAGTCGGGACCTTCAATCCGAAGCAAAAGCCTTTCCATTGGAGTCGCTAGGGCGGCCGATCGGTCAGGACCTCCGTTCCGTACGCTCCGTGGTTCACGTCAAGGTCCAAAAGGCCTGGCTTAACACCATGTCCATTCAATGCAGCCATGCTCAGCAAGTAGAGGCTTTGGGACTAATTCTTCCAAGGCTACGCCACATGTTTTTTTGGTGACATTTGCTTGAGACTTGAGACATTCCTCGAGCCCGGTTCATTTCCGCATATAGTCACATAGTATATTGATGGTTTTTGACATTGGCCGAGAGCTGGATAGATTCCAAGGACGGTCATTTGGTCATGGCTGGATACATGTGCCGCAGAGCCCAAGTCAGGTCACAGCAGTCAGACGTCGGTGGCAGATGGCCAATCAGTTCAGGGGATCTCCTGTTGAAAGCCACCCTTGTCCAAAGTGTATTAATCCTATAAATGCTAGAGGGGCGTCCACTGGTTGCTTGGTCATTTTTGAGAACGTATATGAACATCAATCATTGCCAGAATCCGGCTTGTTTGACAAACATGTCCACAAGTCACAGTCCTTTGGTGGAGCTGAGGCCTTAGCATTTTAGCATTACTCAAGGACGGGCTTTCGCTGAGCCGACTTTCCAATGGGCCTAGGGAAGCCCTGGCATTGCTACAATGTGGATGTGTCTCAACATGGGTAACCGCTTTGGGCTTTACTCCCTCAAAGTCCCGACCACGACAAAGCACGCGGGTCATGATGTCATGATTTACACTGACTTGCTGATGGTTTGTCTTGCTTCGTTCTATTTGCCGAAGATAATTTTTGTTTTTATCAATCCTGTTTTTGGGGGGCGCGTTTTGTGTTCCTATATACGCTTTGCCGAAGATGGACCCGGACCGTGCAGACTTCTCATTTTTTTTTCCCGCCAGGCTGGTGGTTCGGGGAACGAACTATCCCAGAGAATCCATGGAATATTGACCTTGGGTCTATCCGTTCTTACCTGTAACAGTCAGTAAACAATTATCATCCGCTGTTCCTGGTAATGGGATAGATAGATCCCAATATTTACCATCCCATCGATCCCCGGAACCCACCCCAACTGATCGGTAGAATAGACACGAAAACGCGTGACACTGCCAAGGACACCACCCCGCACGAACCCGGCAGGATGCGCACGATTGTCGCCCGAACCCGGAGGATCGACTCGGTGCGTCCAGGATCGCTACGACATCTTCACCAAGCCACAGGCGCCGAACGTGAAGCTGCGGGCCGAGTCGCTCGGTGACGCAGCTTCCGGTCGGATGGGTTCGATCCGGAGGGCGGTGACAGAGAGCTGGCGTTCCGGAAGCGAGGTTTTGGGGGTTTCAATTATATTCACACAATGACAATGCACATGCAATAAGTACATGCATGCATATGCATATATGCATATGCCCACGGTCGTTTTGCTAGCCCGCAGTTCACGGAATTCTTCCACCACAAAGGTGTTTCCTGTACTTCTGACCGTGCATGCCAGCCATAGCAAGCAGTGCTTTCGATCAGCCCAGCAAAAGACAAAATGAGCGGACGGCTTGGGATGTCAAACCTTGAGTTGTCCCGGGAAAGGCGCCACCAGCATCAGAAGGACTTTAGGACCTTGTCCTAACATTTTCTGATGAAGTTGCATAGCCTATGTATCAATGAATGTGATGTAATACTGTTTAATATATATATATATATATTATGGTATTGCAATCTATTGTAGTGCATGTGCAACACCATGTAATGTCAAGTATTTGTAGTGAAATAATGGGCACAGGAAGGGCTTCACTGGCAACCGTGTCATGCCCGCAAGTCGAGCCCCTTGACCGTGTTGGGAGTTTTCTGGCAAGCATGACTGAATGTTCGTCCAAACTTCAAGTCCACATTTCGGACTTGTTGTTTTTTTTGTAATATATATTGGTACGTAACCAGGACACTATTAGGTGGAGGCCTTCGCAAGTAGGTTGGAGGCCATCGCTATTAGTAACAAGAAGCTACTAGATCTACTAGTAGCAAGGACGCTATTAGTAGTAGTGACATGATTGACATGTTGGGTGGCAACCCAGAAGTGGTGTGCCACCAGACGGACCCTGACAGCTGAGATTGCTGAGGCAATGGCATGAACTGCAGGAACTGGTGCGATGGATTGAAGCTGGGCAGCAGTAAGGCTGAGAAGCTACCTGCAACATCCTGCCTGTTCAATCCTCAGGTCGTTCACATCATGGAGAGTTGAAAAGCAAATCGAATCGAATGCGTCTCATCCTCGGGGCCCTGAATCAACCACCGGTAGCCAGGGCCCCGGCGGTCGGTAGCCACAGTCACACCGGTAGCCACACCGGTCGCGTGGCAGCTGCTAAACTCGGAGAACACGACCATTTTGTGCTCAATGCTCCCAAGATGGAGGAAAGAAGATGATGTGGCAAGCCACTGGGTGAAGCAAACTATAGATTCTATAGATATTATGACAAAGCTGACCTCAGCCAAGTCACAGAAGCGACTCAATGGACGGCAATCACTGGTGTTTGCCAAGGAGCCAGACTTCGAACAGATCCATGCGGTGATGGTGAGACACCCAGCAGGGTTTTGAAGACCCTAGTGTGATCCCAAAAGGGGATATATAGGTGGGGAGAGGGGTCAAGATCAAAGACTCAAAGCGTCCGAGAACATTTTTGGAGGATCTTGTCAGGAACTTGGGGGTGACGACAGGTCAGCTTGGAAGTTGCAGAGCGGATGACCACCACTGAGCCATTGAAGCTCCTGCTCCGCTGCTCCGCTTTCTCCGCTCGCTCCAGGTCCTCCTGGCCGTGCGGGGTCTCGGGAAGTCCAAGTCGGTGCTTCAGCAGATGCCTCGTCACATGCGACGCCCCGAGAAGGCCGTGCTCTTTCTGATGGAAAGCGCCTCGGAATGGCCGGGGATGGCCGTCGCGATCAGCGCGTGTCCGGTGGCGGCTCAAAAGAACAAGGATGGGTGCCTTTTGTGCAGCCTTCGCAGTCCCAAAAGTCACGGTCACCCATATGATCCCATATGCCATAAGGAGCTTTCTGGTACCTTGCTATTCTGACACCCAGTTCCTATTTGGGAGACACCCACTTATACATAGACGTTCCTCATAATATTCATTAATTAACTTTGGCAGTTTGTTGTTTGCTGTGAGCTACTGTTGCAGATGGCAGGGGGAGACAGTTTTGTCCAGGGCGAAACATGCATCACGTGACCTGGGTTCACTCAAGGTCAGCATTTGGAAATGGCGAGGGGTGGGCATGAAACCACAGAGAAGACCACAAAATAGACTCTGTGCCCGTGAGCCAAGGCTAAAGCACGCTTAGTGATGTTAGTGGGGGGGTGCAATGTCTTGCCGTTTTCATTTTCCAGATGCTCCATCCTAGTCATTGCTGGCTGCCATGAGCTTGTCTATGAATCAACCTCAGTTTTGGCGTGTTCCCTTACAATGAATTTACAAGTATGGCACTCACCCAGAGGCATGAGAGACTCTTGATGTGTTTGCATCATTGACCTTCCAGAACCAGAGCACAGATGTCGGCCAGTGAAAGCTGCCCAGTGTAGTTGGAAAGCGCAGCAATTGGTGGAAAGCGCGGTTCCACCTTCATCCACCTTCATCCACCTTCATCCGATCCGAATCCGATCCGAAGCGACCTGTGACCTTTTAGGTCAAAAGAATGTCGTGCCCTCTGTGGGATGGCTGGGCCCTCGAGCACTGCACGGGTGCTCAGAGTGGAAGACTGTCGCCTCCACAGCGATGAAGGGCATCAGGGCATCACTGCATCACATGATATCACACGTGTTGTTTTCATTTGTTTTCTAGATTTGTGTACCCCTCTTAGCACATCAGGGTGGTGTTGATAGCTGCTCACACCAAATCACCATAAATCACAGCTTTTTTGGCTGCACTAAGAACATGAGAAGAACACCTCTCTGGCCTTTTTTCAGGACCTTCATCAACGATGCCTTGGCGGTGCATGAGCTCTTCAACTTGGCGCAGATGTTGCAAGGAGAGAACTTGCCAGGGAACATTGCACAGCTTCGAGAATGCATCGATGAGAAAGGCTGGGTCGATCGAACAAAGCGGCGGAATTGAGTGGAAGAAAGCATCGGATGGAACCTTCCATGGGCCGAAGTGGGATTAAAAGAAGACCTGACAGGTTGGCGCATTTGGATGACTGGTAACTGCTAGCAAGAATTCTTCCAAAGGCTACGGCCAGGGCTTTCCAATCCCCAAGATGAAACCAATGCAACCAAACTGACCCAAATCAACCCATCATCAAATGCTTTTGTGATGCCGGTGCCCTGACCGGGGTGCGCAATCCACATCCGCATCCAGGATCCGGCTTGGTTTCATCCGTTTAACCATCCGCAGGATCCGGACGAAGACGCTTCTCCGCGCCACCGTGACAGGTCCCGAGGTCTTCCGGTTTTACATTCTTTTCCTCTTGGGCTTCATGAGTGGCATCGCCGCTGGCCAGGGCTCCCGCTTCATGAATGGAAAGACTCTTTGCTGAGTGGAGCATGAGGAGGCTTTTTTTTTGTTGGGGGGGTAGTGACTTGTAGAATGAAATGGTATCGAATGAGTTTATGACATGTGTCATCTCTGAAAATCTAGTCCCACTTACTCCCGTGCCACCCCGGCCGGCTTGGAACTGCAGATGAGTTGTTTTTGGGTTTTGGCTCATCAGCGGCTCATGTAGGACCAAGACCCGTGAACTTTCATGGGCTTCCAATCTTTGCTCATGCTCTTTCATGGACCCCGACATGCACTGTCATGAACCCATGGACTTCCAAACTTTCAGAAGTTCATGTTTTATCTACCGCCTACATATACCAATCTTTATCCCTACCAGGCCGACCAACTCTTTACCAAACTTGTGACATGTTGTCGCTGTCTTTCCAGGAATGCCTCGTCAGTGATCAGTGGTGTTCGACTGCTGAAGCGTTTGATGGAGTGCAATCCCACCGCCATCTACTGGGGTTACTTAGAGGAACGAGCGCAGAAGCTTCGGGTGAGCTTCTATTCAGCAGAGGACAGCTGTCGACCCGTGCGCAGGCGTCTTTTTTCATGAAGTTCGACCTAGGATTTTGTGGGGAGGTTGGAGGTGAGTATAAGCAGCTAATTAATAGACAACAAGCGACTCCTCCACAGCACTGAAGACAAATAGCAAAGAAATTGTCAGATGCATGATGCGAAGTTCTCCAACAATCAGCATGGTCTGGCTCGCTGGGCTTAACACATTGAGGCCTCCCAAGTGTGTTTGCATTTCCCACCCGTGAAGGAGTCACGAGAGCCATTTATTTCTGCGTGATACACGAGGAATATCCGCGGCCCAATGCACAAACCGCGGTGAGAAAGTCAACTGCAAAACTGATTCAGCGTCAATCTGTTAATCTTTGTCAATCCAAGGGCTTCGTTTAGGAGAGGTAGCCCCGCAAGCAAACATGGACATTCCGTTGGTTTGTCTAATTTCTGCATAAAGAGCCTCCAGTAGAGGATACTTGTAGTGAGTTCGTGATGTCACAATGCATATGCCTGCAACCTCATGGTTGCCCTTTCTGGTCTGCAGTTCAACTTATAATCTAGTTTTTGTGAGCCACAGAAGCATCCGCAACCGACATCAACATCCGCTGAGAAAGCACGTTCGGGTAAAAATGCCGGTAGCTTGTGGACTCCAACGCCCGTGGAACATCAGAAAACTAGAAAACATCTGCAGACTCAAATATAAGGCAACACTCCAAAAGATGGTTTTCGCCCCGCAGATCCAAACAACACACTGGAATTGAAGGATGTGAATGACGAAGCCTGCTCAGTCTTGCCCTAGCAGCAATCACAACCTGGTTTGTATTCCAGGTGATTTGTCCAGATAACTATATAGATCCATTAGCTATTTGTGGCTTCTGGTATTTTGCATTATTACGCTTTCCTATTTTCCCGATTGACAGAATCCCTGCGATATATTTTGTGTTTTGTTTGCGTTCATGAGCCATGCAGGACTTGGTTTTGACGCGCTTATCATGCCTTGCTCGTGCACAAGACGAGAAGGATTATTTGCTTTTGCGCACCTCTTGGGATGCTCTAAAGGCCAGAGACCCTAGGCCGACGTTGAATTTCCACACCGACTGTACCGGAACCCGGTATGTCATCGGGGCTCGGGTGTTTTTCAAAGACCCCTTAACGGGGAACGATTGAAAAGGGGTGCACCGCCCTTTTGCTGCATCTCCGCTCCATTGGTGTGTTGGGTTCCAATGGGCTACTGGGCAGTTGCGAGGATAACTGGTGGCCATATGCGCCCTACCTTGCCGCAACCCCCCCCAAGATTGGCCGAGTTTGCCCTCAAGATCCCTCACAGCACACCAGGGACCAGAAGGGGCCAAACAAAAGGCACTCTCCAAATCACCCACTCTCCGGCCGCCCAAAAAAAGCTTTGGAACCCTCGGAAACCCTTCGGAGCGACGGGGTTCCTGCGCTCCACGTGGTTCCGAGGAACGGCTGGCCTTGACCGACCACTTCTTGGCGGATGGGATCCAGGCGGGGGAAGCGGCACATCTGCCGTTTCAACCCAAGAGTCCAGCACCCAGTCAGAACCCAAACACCTAGTCAGTCCAGCTCCAAGCACATCCTCCAAATCTCCGCGCGAGCGCGAGAAACTGGCAATTTCTCAAGGTTTCTAGCCCTGTTGGTTTAAAATACGGATTAATATTGATTAATTCTCTCCAACATTTAGGCGATTTAGATGTGGCCCCCCCACCAGGGTTCGCAAGAACCACGGGGAACCGACTTCAGACGACGCCCGAATGGTTCGCCCCGGAGCTGTTACTTCAATTCCCTTCCGCCGGGTAAAGAACGCTGTTTTCCTTTCACACATTCTTGGTGCGCATGATGTCAGATGTCCCCACCTCACCATGCCATGCTGGCTTTCCGGAATGGACACCTATATGCATCCATTCCAACAGCGAGCGGTTTCTTTGTCATCAGATTTAAGCAAACTTACACACTTGCAGAAATGGAGTCCGTTTATTCCCTAGACACCTTCACCCCATATCCACCAAAGGGTCAGGGGAGCAGGCTCAAGCCGCCAGGATCAAGCCTTTGTGCTGGAATTTCTCCCCAACTGCATGGCAAATGCTAAGGCACGGGCGTGCGCGCGCCAAAACGCCCGCCGCGCTCGCTTTTTCTGCACAGGACCCAGAGACTGGGTTGTTGGTCTTCAGTTTCACCCAATGGGAATCTCGTATCAAAACCAGTGTGCTTGTGTTGTTGTTTGTTGAGATCAAAGATGATCGAAGCGTATGACCTGTATAACAACAGTAAACAAGTACATACGAGGGATAAGCGTCTTTGGCAAGACTAGCACACGTTGGCCCACTAGTAGAAATCATCTACCAGGTGTGCATTTGTTGTTGGAATCTCAACCCCTTTTGCAGGACTTGTGCCCCCATATGACACCAGACATCAGAAATGTCAGGAAGTTGCAGCCTGCGGTGTGTTCAACGAGTCATTATGGCCCAGTTTGCCCTTCAGTGGGGGTATCATAGGCGACTTCAGCGCTAGCGCTGTTCTCCAAGAAGCCCTTGGCCAGGCCAATACCACTGTCGGCCTCGTCGGGCTGCTGGGTGTGTTGGTGGACCTCCTGAATAACCTGAACACCAGTGGCCTGGCAGAAGCGGCTAGAGAATCTTCTGGGCAGGGGATGAAAGGCTCCATGATAGAGATTTCCCCGAAGCTCAATGATAGATTCACCAGGAACGCCATTTAAATAAAGGAGGCTTGAGGCGTTTTTTTCATTTTGACAAGGACTGCCCCTCATCGAGTCGACCATGTTTGATTCTCGATGTATATGTGGTGATATGTGGTGTGAATGAGAGGTGATTTTGAATGACCAGCATTTCTGTTGGGACCAGTATTTATGGCAATTGCTTTGTCAAATTGTTGACTGGTGGTTCAGCTGTAGTGAAGACCAATTTCTGAAGGATGCTCTTTATGCTGCTTGCTTTCTTTTTGGATGGAGGAGCTAGTTCATGCAGGACTTCCAAAAGATCCCCAACCGTTTTCGGGAGAAGGAGCATCCCGTTCGACTGCCTGGAGCTCAGACCATTTCAAAGCACGAAAGACCTGCGAAATCGTAAGGCTTGGAGTCTATGCCGCAGATGGTGCCCGAGCTTTTTCAGTTCTTTCTGGGGGAAAGCGGGGTGGGCGGTGGTGTTCTCAAAATGTTTGCACATTATAGCCACACCAAGACTTTCATGCAGTTTTAGTCTATTTATTTGGTGGCTACGAATTATTCCTTGGGACTTGCCCAAGGCCGTTGTTGATTTATCAACTTTTGATACTGCTTTTGGATGTCGGGTTTGTAAAAGTATGGCCAAAGAATGTATGGCTGATTAACTAGTGTTCCTGGTGCTGTGTGCAAAGTTTTTACGTCGATCCTGTCAGATGCTGTGCATGTGATTTTCACCCATCTCAACTCCACCCAATGACTATACTTGCAGGTTTAGGTAGCAGATAACCAAGTGTGGAAGTTCCAAGTATGTACCAATGTTACCAATGAATTAGAGCTGGGCATGCCGTCCGGAGTCCTGATAGCTGATAATGGAATGATGATCTTGTCAGGGGCCCTATGAATTTGAGACCAGATCGACCAGATCCACCTGCATCACACGAAGTGTGATCATGTTGTTGTGTAAAGAAGAAGGGGTGGGATCCAGTCAGGACCCCCCTTGGACTGCTAGCGCTGGGGATCATCAGGCTTAGATGACATGGGTACATCAAGAAATCCACAGATCCTCCATTTTGCGGTACACTAGCTTCCAGGATAATTCGTTCACACCGCCATAGAGCTCTTACTCCAGAACCCCCCCCCAACAAAAAAGCACATCAATCAACCTCGCGAATAAACCGGGTCTATTCTGCAGGCATTGGAGTCTTGTGCCCCCAAAAGCAAGCATGGAAGGAATCACATGGAAACACACTGTACACGCTGTTTGTGGTTGTTTGTGAGGTCCAATCTATTTTTGAGTGCCCATCTGCCACGAGGACAAAATGATCCCCGTGGACCTCTCAGAGATGGCGGAGTTCATTGCTGTGGTCCAAAATCGTTTCGTCTTCTTGACATGTGTCTCGCGGTGTCAACTTCAATTTGTGGGGCAGAATCCTGTCAGCAAATGCGAGCAGATGCACGCGGTTTCGGTTGAGTATTGTATGAGTGTTCTAGGCGTGTGTCAGCAGAATTGCCAATTCAATCCAGTTTTAGGGTGACATGAATTGTTACAGGTCATGAACTAGTTTGCAGAGGTGGGCCATCGTGAACCTAAGAGGGGCGCCCTTGACATCCCAGGAGAGTCTATTTGAAGATGACTGGAAGCCGCTAGGCAAGCAGGTTTGCGAAAAAAAGCCCAAGCCTCACTGATCCATGCAGTCATGATCCCCCCCGATGTAGCTAGTTTGCCAACTCACCGTATTGTTCTTTTTGTTTTCGACTCCTTTGCCCCGGCCGTCCAGTTCCTGACCGCGCCGGTCAAGGCAATTGGGGGCGCACCACCGATCCAGATTCCGACATGACCAGTCTGGCATACACGCTGCAGGTCGGTCCGGGTCGAACCTGACGGGGTCTGACCGGATTCCGTAGAAGAGAGCTCCCGCAAAACGATCCTAGCCTCAGTAGCGAAAGTGGTAGTAGAAGTAGGAGTAGGAGTAGCAGGGAGGAGGCTTTCAGGTCAGAATTGTAGAGGGAACCAAAGGCTGAACATTAGACATCTTAGCTAAATCCATCTAAATCTAAATGAAGTATTTTATTGAACGAATTGATTTGTTAACAACACCCTGGGTGAACACGACCTTACCCCAAACAAATCAGTAGTTTCGAACAATTTGCCAAAACTCTTTAATCATTCCCTAGAGAGTCAAGTGTATACGCCCAACTAACACCTGTAATTACAAGCCAACCCAACTAAACCTCCTACGCCCCATCCCTAAGACCTGTGGCCCTATACTCAAGATTATCCTTTGTAGTGCTCCAAGATGTCAAGTTGGTGCTCCAAGAGCCGTTGGTGTTGGAGTCTGTGGGGAAATAGAAGAGGAAACACAACAAAAAGACGCCACTGGCCCAGTATAGATCAGCCGCCCCAGTTTGGGCGCCCTCTTCCACAACGAGGCACAAGCACGGAGGTTTCACTGGCCATCGATTGGTCGAGTTTGTTCGACGTGCGCAGGACATTCTGCAGAAACAAGAGGTCTTAGAGGAAACTTGGCTTGCACCGAGGAAAGCCGTGGAACATCGGCGGCCATGGTGGACCAGAACACCCCTCGGATCGACGGACGATTTCACCCCTGCTTCAGTTGGTGACTTCGTGGTGCGATTCAATGTCCAGAGTTTGGGATGGGGTGACTGTTCCATGGGTGTACCCCTTTGATGCAATGGAGTTTGGGAGGTTGGATGAGGCAAAGATGAGCATCAAATAGGAAGCGGTGGTAGCAGATGACCAGCTCTTTGTCCGGTTCCAATCTAGAATGTAGCACACACAAATTGCACTGCTAAACGATGGGGTTTGACCCCATGTCCTGGTGGAGTGCCTCAACATGCAAACTAGGGGCATTTGATGACCGGCTGTCTTACCACGTCTGACGGGGACGAGATCCGTCTTCTCACGGCCGTGTCGATGATCGGCTCCATGAAAGTCGAGGCCTACATCATGCAGCTTGGCAGACAGCTTGGTAGAGGTAGGTGCATCCGTACAAAAGCTTGAAGCAAGGCAGTTGGGGTGGTCATTGAGCAGGCATAGCTGGCACTATAGCTGGCATAGGTAGCTTCTCTGGACATGAACCATTTTGAGCCAATCAACCACTGAAAGATTACAGTATAAAAGCATACGCTTGACATGTCAAACAATACCTCTGATATGCATTAAGCTGAATACTCCAGACCCGCTATTAGCCCAGGATATGACCTTGCTTTAGGAGTTGAAAGCTCGATGTTGCTCCAAACACGTGTTCAATTCGAGGGGCCAGATTTGCCCCTTACGACCCAGTGTGTTCGACAATTTTTGAGGGTTGTTGTTGTTGTTGTGGTGTTCACAGGATGGAACAGGGAGAGCACCAGAAAACATTTGATTGGAATGACTGGGATGCAATTATGAGATATGCACATTATACATTCGTTTAAGACAATGCACGGGACAACATTTCCCCTCCGATATTTCCCCTAGACGAACGTTGCTTCAAGAAGCCTTCCTGTACTCCAGGAGGCAAATAGATAATGGTCAAAGAACCGGTTGCGCCATCTACCCCTATGTAAAATAGGCCCATTTCACACAGGTGCTGATGGCTTAACGGGTTGTGGGTTGAGCCAGCCATGCAGCATTTCCAGCATGCGAAAATCACAGGTTTTGCAACAACTGTGGAGAAAAAGACAGTTAAAGTTCGACTTCTTGGCTGTAATCATACACCGTTCTGAAAGTAGGTCAATGGATTCTTCATCACTTGGAGCAGTGGATTGCGCAACACAAGGTGAGTTTGGTTGGGATTGACCAATTTGTTCAATACTTTGCCAATTTGTTCTGTGCCGGCGTGTGTTGGAAAGGGAAGGGGCCGGGAAAGGACAAGTGGAGGAAAGGAAAGAAAAGGAGAGAGGAGAGGTGAAAGACAAGGAAAGGGAAGAGAAAGTGAAGGAGAGGGAGAGGGAAAGGAGAAGTTAAGGAAAGAAACCAATAGGAAAGGAAAGAGAAAGTGAAGGAGAGGGAAAGGACGTGGAAACAAATGGAAAGGAGCGTAGGTGAGAGGTGAGGTTGTGCCATCTACTGGTATTTTGTATATGGGGGGGGTCAATCTAGGCCACTACTGTGCCATCTATTTACTGTCGCGGTGTGCAATCTGTTTACTTACCGGTATGTATATGTTACTGTAAATTGCTGTAGACCTAATTGTTTCAAGTGATCAAAGAGAACCGCTTTGCCCATTCTAAAGCTTGACAGAGTTGCTTAATCCAAAGGATGGATGGGACGTTAATTCAATCCAGAATGGCTGCGTGTTGCATTTCGGTGGGTGCTAATGCCCCGTAATGGTGTTTCAATAAGCCTTTCTCCTCTCTCTCTCTATGTGTATATAAACCAGCGTTGCTTTAGGAAGCTGTTGCTAGGTCCAAATCAAATTCAGACGATACGTTTTGCCTTAAGACTTTGCGTGTTAACCATGAGTATGGGAATGCGTTGTGCAGATGTGTGGCATGGGAGGGCGGTTTGCGAAAAGCCACACAAAGGCTTAAACCATTGCGAGTCAGTTTTAACACATTGGATGACCATGCCCCGTCCTTTAGGAACACAAAATACTGGATTGGGAAGGACCTGCAGCAGGGGTCCGCCAACACTTAAAACACTTCTTGGGGTGCGCATACGGCTGGAAGGTGGTAACTAGTTTAGACATGTTTAAAGTTTATATACTTTGTTTATAGTTTCTTTTACAGTATATATAATATTTATATGCGCCAACAATTTTAGTTCTGTAGTTGGAAAAGGGAAGTCTCCAGCCCGTAGTGGCGTGCAAACGCCACAAACCTTGCCAAGTCAGTCAACGGTACCGTACGGCACCATAACGTTACGGTGCCCTGGAACCACCTCACCGGAGTCGGTGTCCATTTGTGGATGTTTTTTTTGGTCAACAGCTGTTGGTGTGCTTTCAACTCCAACACCTCCAAAACCTCTACAGACGCAAACTCAAAACGAATTGTTTCATGGTGAGTCCTTGGAGATGTTCTGCCGCAGATGAAGTTGAGCCTAGCTGACTGGTACTTAGTATATAAGGAATAAGGGAATGGATCCTGAGGTATCTACAGGGGGGTGGTTCATTCCCTCATTCCCTACGAGTCGCACCAGTTTGCCGCTTCCAAATCCAAGACGGGCACCGATGCCGGGCCTGAGGCGAAGGCATGAAGACCCAACTGCGCTGGTCACGCCTGAAGGGAACACTCGTGCCAGCAGGCTGAGCGCGACGCCGGACATGCACCTCGAGCGGGTCAACAGCACTTTGGCAGCCGAGAATCGAACTGGGCGCAACATGTAAGGCAAGCGTTAGCGATCGCCCAGTAGGGGTTCAGGAAATTGGGGTGAATCATGTTGTTTCATGTGTTTGAATTGAGGTTCTGTGTGGAGACTCAAGCTCTCAGGAAGATAAAGGACGATTGATTACTTAATCAAAGTAGTTTATAGACGCCTTACTTTCAACCATGGTGACGCGGCCGGCCTTTTCCCTGTATTCTTTTGCTTGACAGGCTGACCCAGACGAACAAGTCAGATGAATCCGATCGGCCGAACTCCTTTTGTACCTCAGGCATGAGTTCGTCCACATCGCAGGAAGTCCGGCAAGCGGTTTTCTAAGGCCGATGTCCGGGCAGGGGAAGTTGGAAAGGGAATGAGAGGGAGTTTTTGTTTTCTTCGTAATGTAGACTCTATTATATATATATATATAATACCCCCCCAATTGCATTTGAATTGGACATCCTCTTCACGGATGTTTGTGAGAGTTACGTATGGGGGCTTTACTTATCAAGAGTCTACATGAATGGAACCTGGATGAACCTAGAGAACGGCTGGCCATTCAGCCTGTGGGGCAGGTGTCTCACATTCGCAAACTACCACCCAGTCTTGGCCCATGACTGGAGGTTGTCCTTCTCATGCTGGATGCTTCAGAAGTTGCTTTTCCCATGTGACATGTGTTTTGTGATAGCACCGTTTTTTCTATTTGAGTTCAATGGGAGTCTTTGACTTTCTTCTTTGCTCAAGAGGTGCTGCCCAAGCACCACCCCGAAAAGGGCTCAGTTGTTGGAGCCATCGAAAGCCAGGAAGTCAAGTGAGAGTTTGTCCCTGGCTGCTGTTGATTTTCGTGGCCCCAGATGTAAATTGGCGTGGCTGCTGAGGTGACGGGTTTGTGAGTGCAAACCATGTCAGAAACGCGAGCAAATGGGAGGAACATTGCAATGACCTTACCGTACCCCCTATAACTCTTAGATACTTTGTTTCCATCAACTAACAGTTGAGTTAAAACATGTGTCACACATGAGAGAGTTAACGCAAACGCTGCTAGATTGCTTGGCCGGGGTGCTTTTGCATGTGGGGCCTCCACTACGCACCGTGTGGGTTTAGCTTCCAACTACTGTCAGGGTCTCCACCGTCGGTTGACAACGGCGACGTAGAAAACACCCAGACACGTTGGAGCGAAAGAGTTTCACCAATCGCTGAAGTGGCCGATTTTTTTTGGACACATCCGAAGTGTTTGATATTTTTCCACGGCTGGGGAAGCCGTGGATGGACGGAACTGAAGCTGGGGGGGCCATGGCGAGCCTCAACAGCTGAGATAGCACGCTGCCTGGATCTCGTGTAGCACTCTTCCAGCCACCAACTGGGCGAAGCATGATGAAGCAGCTGCCATGTGCCTGAGCTTCAGTGACCCCAATTCTCCTTGCCTTGCCCCTACGGCCACTACGACCTGACGGGACGCCTGGTAGTCATGGTCGTTTTGGCATTTGCCGATCAGATGTGATCGGTCGTTGTGAGGTGAAGCACCGCAAGATGTGACCCGATTTGCTCCGGGCGAAGAGTTGGACTACTTAACGACACCGATGTTCGTCGCTGTTGACCACCATTCAAGGAAGGTTTTTGCTCTGAGACTTTTGAGTTGATGCCTGCCGGATGCCAGATGCCAGACAGGCAGGGCAGTAGAAAGAATCCTACAGCAAAAGCTGTGGGTATTGATGACCACGGCATGTTTTCGAGTTGCGGAACAGCAACGTGATGGAAAACAATCATTAAGAAGTGTGCGGTGGACCAGAAACACCATCCAGATTCCAGATCCTATGCCACTGTGTGCATGTAAAAACACATATATATATATTTATTATATATATACATATGATACTATCATTAATTATATAGAATCTATCTATATATATATATTTTTTAGCCAGAAACATATGCAAAGCCAGTCCAAATCCTGTGAAAGCATAACCCCGTGTGTCATAGTTGCGATACATAGATGCAATATGATGCAATGCCTATTGTCCCTCGACCTCCCGCATTGCCAAAGGCACTGTGGTCGGGAGTCATTGCTATTTTAGCATGCAGCGCTGGTAGGATTTGTGCATTGATCATCGGTGGATCGCAGGTAGGCGTTGATGTGATCTATCAAGAGGGACAGCCGCTTCACAACCTGACAGGTTCCGGTAATTGAAGCCGGGAGCAGGGGCACCCTGAAGTTATTCCTAGTCAGAACTTGTCCATTTTCCGACGGACATGAGGCATGAGGTCGGGACATGATTGGGAAGAACTGCCATGCGCTTACACGATGAGGGTGTGTGACATGAAATCCACATCATCCGCATCGCCTTTTTGCACGTTCCCCCCTTACGAACTGATTCGGCCTGGTCCTAGTCCTGGCGGAACGAACTCCACTCGGGAACGAACTCTAGGAGTGCACCAATGACACGACTCCAAAGCAAATAGATTTGGCTGAGCAAATCAATGGCTGCGCTTGACACGTCCGAGACACGGCTGCGATGGTCGATGCCTGTCAGACCTACCTGACAGAGTGAAACTTTAAATCCCAGGACGGGCCAAGCATGTCACGAAGTATGCACCATGAGACCCAGCATGTAACCGAGTAACCAAACTAAGTGAGCGTTCCTTTCAGCTCACTTTACAGACATTGAAGACGTATCAGACTCGGCTTCCAACGATTCCAGCAAAGCCATAGCCTCAAAGCACATAGCAAAGCACACCTTCGAACATGGGCAGAGTGGGGAGTGATACTGTAGGCCAATTTCTGTGTCAAAGTGTAGCACAGTGTGTAGCACTTTGGGGTCCAGCTGCTTCGGCTGCTTGGCTGTTCCTTCGTGGATATTTTGCACCATAGGCAGATCCTTCCGCATCTAGGCTGAAGATCTCCCAACGAAACCTTCATCACTCGCAGAGGACGAAAAGTACGCCGAGATGAGGGAACTAATATATTATGTAACTCGGGCTGTTGTTGAGCAGGAATGCTGGGCCCCAATGGCGCTTTGTTAGAACATTAGAGTACTTTGATGTATGTATATTGTTTGCATGCCTTGCCTAATCAAAGATCTACAAGGTCCTGTTCCCTTTGGGGTTCTGGGTGCATGACGCAAATGAATGTTGAACTGTGCCCTTGCACAGGGAATCAGTATACACCTCCTACATACCGCCAAGGCCGCCACATGCCTTTCTTTCCCAGTGAGTGTTTTTGCCACGAATTCTCCGTGTCATGTTATTTTCCTTTGGGCACCGTCAAGACACCAACAGCAGCGCCACCGTCACACCGGTGCAACAGTGAATGGATTCGACACCAGGTGCCGATGGGTTCACAGTGCCGTCCTTGTGCGGGAATGTGTGGGTTTACTACGCCTGGTCACCCCCGGCGCTCGACCACGAGGGCAGCACGGTCGGGCTGAGGGAGGATGGGTGGTGCACGGTGCAGGTGGTGCACATCGGATCGCGGCTTCGAGCAACTCGCCACTCAGGTGGCTGACGTTAGCTCCCAAAGCACGTGGGCCATTTGAGCCTGTAATTAGCTATGTATCGGGGATGGAACCTTCCTCCTCTCCACCCCAGACCTCCTAGAGCAAGTCCAGAGAGAGAGAGAGAGAGGGAGAGAGAGAGAGAGAGAGATAGATCCTCTGAGAGGGAGACACGGGTCTGGCAGAGTCTAGCAGTCTATAGCAGCTAGGAAAGACAGGGAGTCTAAGAACGTGGCACTTGGATTCATGCTCAAACATGGTGGAGTTTGAACTGCACTGGTGTGTGGTTTGAAGAGTCAGCCAGCCACCCCTTCCATCCCTGCCAGGGGCGGCCAGGGTCACGTGCTGTGAGAGTTTCTCGGGGCGAGGGCGCGGCGAGGGTGGTGGAAAAAGAGAAGGGCTCGCTCAAACCAGTAAGCTCCTACAATTTGTGGCGAAACTGCCCGTAAGCCATCATAGGCGCCTGCAATCCATAGCTTCTTGAGATCATTTGTCCACTCGACTCAAGAAATTTGGAAAGCATATCCTGTTGTACTTCCTAATTTCTTATTGCATGCATATGTGTGTGTGTGTGTGTGCGTGCGAACCTTGCAGCCAATGGGCTTGGCCAGTGCGTGCCGTGCTGAGCATGGGCCAGATGCTCAGCTGTCTGGCAGCCACAGAAGATTACAGAAACACAAGTCTCAGGTCGCTGTGGATCATATACAAAAAATAGATCTAAACCAGGGAGCCAGGGCTTCCTCATTGGATTCCTGCATGCTTGATCTCACATCCTGCCTCGTTCAAGTTGAATCGGTGCAATTGACCCGTCGCTGCTTCTCACCGGAGGTGACGACACCAAGATTCACAGGCGCCCGGGGTTCGCGATCCCACGAGACCGTGGGTTGGCTGGCTGTGAAGGGTCGGCAATGAGAGATAAGAGTCAGAGCACATCTTGTGTCCAAGAGCGCTTGGAGATCAGACATTCAAGACATTCCACAACTACTTCATACCCATGAACATTTCTTCTAGGAAATGTAGATAGTGCGCCGCTGTAATATATATATATATTATATATATGCTCAAGCGTATATGAGTATATGCTACTTCTCATAGTTCTGGGCAGATGGTAGAGTTTTAGAAGCTATCGCTGTCGGCACCTGATCCTTGGAATTGGCACCTGACCAGGCGTATCACTTGGCTGAACGGCAATGTCTTCCCTGATCGGCCCATCGACCCTGAGGCAGGTCGAGGCAGGTCAAGGCAGGTTGAGCATGCCGATCGCTCAACTTGTTGATTGCAGTTAATGAAGTACTCCGTTCGTAGCGTCCATGCTCCGTTCGTAGCGATGCGGCGATGCCCTTGGCTCCGTTCGTAGCGTGGGTTATAAAGGTCAGGACACGTGTTTGGGGTCTTTGAGACATTGGGTTCTAGATGTTTTATTTTCATCGACCCGTACGACTTTCCCGGCGACAATGCCGCGTGCACAAGTCAATAAGTCAATGGTCCCAGAAAAAGTCATGTGATTGCAGAATCGCCTTTTGCAACAGACATAAGTCGGTTTCGCGGTCAAACATAAGTCGTCAAGACAAGTGAATCGTCAACATGTTGAACCAGGGGGTGCTCCTGTAGGAAAACATGTCGCGCCAGGGGTGCTCCTGTCAGTCACTGTGAGAGTCACTCCTCACAGATCTCACGGACTTCGCAGGGAGGAAGACCATCCACTGTGATCACCACACGAAGCGGTCAGGCCATCGAAGCGGTCAAGAGACTGGGAGTCTCCCGTGGCTTTGAGCTGCTCAAGGATGGGGAACAGCAGCTGCGTTCTGGTGGTGGACCAGTGTGGCTGCGTTCAGGGGTAAGGCATCATGAATCATTCTGCTTCTTTTTCAGGGCCTGGTTTGGCAGTGTGGGGACCCTTCTTGATCATTCACGATCCAATTCTCAGGTGATCAAATGAACCCATTCAGTGAGCAGAGGGTTTTGGGCCCCTGATTTCTTTGACTCTCCGCCAAAAAATCCGTGTGGCTCAAAGCTGGAGGATGCTGAGGAGAAGTCAGGCAAGATCACGAACCCCAGTGGCTACTTGAAGGCGCCAAATCGAAGGAGCCGTTGTGCGACTCACGAACTCGTTCCGCGAGGCGGTCGGCGCTGAGGTAGGCGCAGGGCAGAGGACTCCGTCGTTGTGAAGGAATGGAACCCCGAGGATCAGTGAAATAGCTAACTGGCTTTGCAGAAATCATCGCAAATGCGTGAAGTCTTGCGAAACCAGTCCTTGCGTGCGTTTCTTTTGCAGGCTGCTGTGTTGAGGGAAGGTGTTGTCGCAACTTGGCAAGGAAAAAAGGTCGGGGATTTGCATAGCTGGCAGAAGAACCTTGAGGTAGAAATGGGGAAGCACCCCTTGTCCAGCATGATGCCCTGTCGTTGAAATTTGGCATTGAAGAACGCTTGAGCTGACACGATCCTGTTCCAGTTGGTCTTCCAGCGGTCCATGTTTCATCATGTTGCATGCTCCGATCATTTGTGTTTCATAGCCAGTTTGGCTGAGAAAATTGGCTCCGCCTTCAGAGCCTTCGAGAGTTCTTCGGCCAGTTTGGCGTAGCAGGTTCGTGTTTCGAGCCATGAGATCAATGCCAATCCTAACGCCTTGGCATCGTGACATGAAGGACAATGTGAAGAGCCGGGTGAAGGAGCAGGTGGCCGGGCGAACAGGCGCCTCTTGGGAAGATCGCCTACAAGAGCAAAAAGCCAAGAAGGTTCAAGTGATGAAGTCAATTGAGAAGGAACAGAAAGAGCTCATCAAAGCTGCAACAGAGAAAGGGATTGAAAAGCAGCAGGTCTACTCTCCGCTCTTGACCCTCCGATCTGCACCGAATCTGTCGGCTGAGAAGCAAGCGCAGAGGCTTGAGGAGCGAAAACAAGACATGTCAGAGAAAGTCCGCTCATATGCCATGCAGCGCCGGGAGATTTTGGAGAAGATGCGTACCCGAGAGCCCCTTTTTCGGATTGAGGATGTCTCAACAGCCAAGGCACTTCTCGCAGAGGGCCGTAGGAAGAAGCAAGAGGAGCTTCAAAATGAGGAGAAGAAACGATGGGAGCACTTGGAGGAGTGTGCAATGAAAGGAGTCCAGAAAAGGGATGCCCTCTATGACTTGCACAACAGCCCATCTTTCGATGAGCGTTTGGCGAAGGCCGTCGAGCGCAAGAAACAGGAATTGAAGGAGCTTGAGAAAATCCAGAAGGAGCGCATCCGCGATGCCATTGAAGTTGGACACCAGAAGTCTACTTCGGTCTCTCCACTCTTGGGCGTCTTGCGGAATCCTCCCGACAACGCTGAGAGGACACGGGAGATCCTGGAAGAGCGCCAGCGAGTGATGGCCAGCGTCGCCAGGGAGTACTTCCGCAAGCGGGACGACATGCTCCAGCGTCAGCAAAACCGGACACCGCTGTTCTCGTGTGAGGCAGTGGAGGACAGGGTTCACTCGTCATATTTTGATGATTGTCGTAATTGGACATGTTTGGAAATAGGACACAGGAACCCCCACAGAGAAGTCGTTTCGTTGTTTTGCCCCCTTGTTCCTCCGAGGATGCACAATTGCAGTTGGAAGAGCAAGCCCGAAAACGCAAGAAAGAGATGCAAGCCGAGCAGATGAAGCAGAGACAACACATTCAAGAGTTGCAGAACAAGGCATTGGCTCGGCCACTAATGATGGAGGCAAGATTGAACGTGATTTGATGGGCCGGCCACCTGTGCCATTTTTGATAGCTCCCGGTACCACAACATGCCAGTGCAATCCTCGCGAAGCGACACTGGCACCTCATACAGCTTTGGCACAAGATTTGTCATCATTTGTTTTTTTGGACAGATACCGCGTTTGCGGGTTACACGTGACGTGTTGTGTTACAGTGTATATAATGAGTTTCATGGGACATCACTGAGTCAAAATACTGCAATCAACCGATGGTGCCAAGGTTGCCCAATATGTTTGTTGGGAATGTGGCGGTCTGTCTAAGCCAGACACAGCCATCCTTGAGACAGAGCATGCACCGGAGCACAGCCAAGCATGAATACAAAAGGTGCTGTAGTTCAGGCGACTCCAGCTGCTGGAATGTTGCATTGAAATTTTGATGCTGATCTACCTATTCTGAAAGCCCTGTCAGGAATCTACCCGCCCCTGCTCCGGGCATTCCATCATCAGCCAGTTAGCCATCCATCCATCCATCCATCCATCCATCCATCCATCCACATTCGTACCTTTATGTTCCCCTCCCATCCTCACCCATACTCCTCTTTAGTGTTTCCTATATGTGTTTTTCTTTTCAGACTTATCCGTCTCTTAACCCTTCCCATTCTCCTTCCCAATCATTATAATTCCCAAAGCCCCTACATTCTCAACATTCTCTCTCATTCTCATTACTTTCTCGCCGATGGACTCGTATCTTCCCAGTACCCTTTTGTTGGTGTCCTCCAGCGCCACTTCCTCGCATCATTCCCGAGGGGTTGCTACCTGTGTGAAGTGTCCAACGTTCTCAAAGAACGGCTGCCTGCCACGTGAAGTGTACTGCCAACCATCGTCATTGATTGATTCTTTTGAGTGATGCTTGGAGTCATTGATTTGCTGTGAATCATTTGATCTCAACCTCCGCCCTTTGCTTAGGCCCCAAGCCTCATGGCGCCCATTGCGCCGGTTCAGGTGGATCGGTCGTTTTCCATCCGGAGCGAAGGAAGGAACCGTGGAGCGCTGAGAGCGCCGTTTGAGTTGAGAGCGCCAAGGGGGGCGCGTGTGCAACGAGACCACGAACTCCAGAGAGAGAGAGAGAGGAAAAAGCACCATATTATGGGTAAGTTGGTGGAACAGATTGAGGAGAAAAAAGACAAACAAGGTATAGCAACACCTGCCAACCTCAACACATGTCACTCACGCAGCACTCCATTTCCCCGTCTTGTTGGCCTTTTGCAGTTCCCCTCTTCTCGTGTGCAGCTCTTGCGTGTGTCTCTATGTCTGACCTTTGTGCCTTCGTTGGAAGAAACACAGTCTCCACTTCACGCATGTTTCAAGTTATTTTATTGATGCTGCCCGCATGCCACCTCTTGGGTCTTTGTTCCTTCTTTAGGACTCACATCGTTCAACACCCTTGACCTGTACTCACTTGAGCCTGATTTGGAGAGGGCGGATAAATTTATACTTATTCACACCTTTGCAAAGATCAAGCTTTGTCTTACCTAATACCGTCTACCATCCAAGACAAATTTTAGCGCTTGACCCCCTGCGTGTCACTTCAGGCTCGTTTAAACATATTGAAGGCCCAGACGCTCCAAACAGCCCTTTGTTCCTCAAGACCTAGGGATTTGAGACCCCAGACCCCTCCAGAGGATTCGGGTCCCACCCCTCCATATGATGGTCCAGGGTCGCGCCTGGGGGAACCCTTTAAACTTACGCCCGCGCACGTTGCCAGGCCGAAGGAAAGGTGGAGAGGAGCGTTTGGTTTCGCCATGCCCGCACATTGTGCTGATAGTAACGCTGCAAGTGAACAATGTGAGTGAGTGTGTGTGTGTAAGAAAAAGGGATCCGACTCTTGATAAGACTGATACAATTATAGATGAAAATGGAAGGTAAGGGCCTTTTTCAGTCTTACATCCTTTCTTGCACATGTTAGATGAACAACCTCCAAGCCAGTCCACGCACAGGTAGGAGTTTGATTTCTCCCATTTCCCAGGAGAGCCAGCTGGCTCAACACCAACGTCTTTCAGGCATGCTGGAGCTGGTAACGAAAAGCCAACGAATCATTGACTGTTTTGTATCACAACGCCCGATATTCCTCACACCCCCATACTACCAAAGTGGCACCCCTGAAATATTATGAATTCAAGCTGGGCGATCTGTGGAATTGCATCGAGCCGCTTGAACTCGGGCCGGAATGATGAATTTCCAGGACCGGCTCATTGATGATGAGGCCTTGGGCCTTGTGACCAATTGCGGATATTGGACGGCAGCAGAGGGACACCGGCGACATGCAGTCGATCCACTCATGCAAAGCGTTTGCCCCCCAAAAAACAACAATATGGGAGGTAGCTGTCAAACTCGTGAAGCCTCATGGACTCATTAATATTGTTGTCACCGTCCGCCACTCGTTACGAGAGTTGCTTCGGAAAAGGCGCAATGCAACTAAACCGGAGCAAACCGGAGCAAAATGGCATGTTTTGCCTGGTCAAGGCCATCGCCTGAAACTGGAGAAAGTGTTTGGTTCACAGGCCATCGCTGCCATGAAGACCCTGCAGATGGCCCGTGCCATGGAGCTCTTCAAAGATCTCGAAGAGCTTTGGCTGAGACACTTTAAACGTCAGAACCGCGACATGGGCCGAAGGAAAGGTAGGACGGTAGGACTCAGGGACTTGCTCATTGTGCCATTGACCTTGAAGGCCACACCAGTCTTGTTCGGCTCTTTCAACATAATAGTCGCCTGTATCGTTGCTAGTCCTTCTCCACAGAATCAGAAGATGAAGCGGCATTTGGTGACCAACGTTTTGCTCGGACCTGAGGAGAAGAAGGATCAGGTCCAAAATCCTTCTGGGTATTTGAAGGCTGCAATCAAAAGAGAGACGCCACCTGCTGCATCTTTTCAGGGCAATGCCCACGATGAAGGAAAGGTTCATCGGCGAGCCAGCTGGCTCAATGCCAACGTCTTTCCAGATCGACCCATTGACGAGGAGGTGCCGGAGATGGTGTTGGGGAAGGTGTAGGGAGTGGTGTAATCCACGTGGGAAAGCGGACATGTGATCCACGTGGTGAGTTACCAGGAGGATCATGTAGTCCATCACTGGAGACTAGCCTTTTATGAGCTGACTTTGGCATGGTTCAGCATCCCAGTGTTGCATGTTGGTCACGTTTCTTTATTTTGAACCTGCACTGGCAACAACAGGGGAGTGTAATCATCACTGGTTGAGAAACACTCACAGCAACTGCCGCTGTACCGTCCGAACTTGTCAGAAGTCTATACCCATGCACATGTATGACTGGCTGCCTTGCTGCTCGTTGGACCTACGGCAGGCCATTGCAATGTTGAAGGCCTTGGGAGCTGCACGTGCCATGGAACTATTTAAAGATATTGAAGAGAAGAAGGAACAGGTCCGAGTCCTGGCATAATTACAGGGGCTTTGCGAGAAATGGTGGCTCTAAGGCATTGACCGAAAGCTGCTTGACACTGAGCCGAAGGGTGCTAGAACAACCAAAAGCTGTGCTGCACAAAGCAGGATGGAATAATACCTGCATGAGGCGACCACATTTTTTCGGTACCTTTCTGGTTGGAACAGACACGTCGTGCGACAATTGTGAGCTGTTCACATTGCTTGACTAGTGCTACTTGCACGAATGTGTGGTCAGACCGAGTCATTTGGACAGCGCTGTGGTTTTGAGATACTTGGTGCTGGTTCGTTCAGACCACTTTACGAAAATGATCCCAAAAGGCATTGTCCACCCTTTCCGCTGTCCATGAGCCAAGTACCAGCCTTGAAAGCTAGAGAATACTAGATGAGCCAACTAGAGAGAAATCCTCGGCCCATTTTGCTCATGAACTAGGGGACCACAATGGACGAAGCAACTCAGGAAACCCCAGCGGCTACCTGAAGACTGCCGTGGCTCGGGAGCCGACGGGCCCGCCTTCGCCGATGCGCTCGCAGCCCGCGGCCTTGGGACCGGAGGCGCGGAGAACCGCCGAAGCAGCTGCATCCAGCTGCATCAAGAGAACCTCATTCAGATTCGTTGACACCTTTCTTTGTTTTTCGATGGGGCCCTCGTAAACGCAGAACAATGGCGAAGGACAGTCGTCCGGCGCTCCGGCTAAGACCACGGCCCAGTCTGCAAAACCCCATTCTCACATCGGGAATGGTCCCAGGAGAAGATCTACCGCCGTGGGTCCTGGCTCAATGCGAAGGTCTTTGCGGACCGGCCCATTGACGATGAGGTGCCCCGAATGACAAGCGTTTGAAGGCCATGCGAGCGCGATGTGCTCCTGAAATCACTAGTGCTGAAGGTATTCTTGGTTTCATGGATTGGCTTCTCCAGGAGCACCTGCATGGAACATGGGCTTTTCCAGGAGCAGAGGTGAGATGTATGAAAAACTGACCCGCTGCAGTGGATCCGTGCTGCCTTGGAATCAGAGGCTGATTGGTCACATGCCACATGCCCCCCCGGGTGTGGATACCTGTGCCAAGGAACATGGGGCACGCCAGAGCAAGCCACTCCCAGTATTTCATTATATTTCGGTGCCAACTGCATGATAAATTCTACGAACCAACTCAAAAGAGGAAAACGCAGGAAACAAGAAACATGCATCAAACATGCAGAAACCCAGCTTAAAATCCGTTGGCTGCAGGGTCACGCCCCTGGGCATCCTAAGGCGCTCGAGGCGGTGAAGTCCTTGGGCATCCAGAGGGCCATGGAGCTCTTCAAGGCGTGGCCATGTTTTGTTTCTTGGCCATTCTGCTCATGTGCCATCATCACCATGCCATCATGTTCGCCATCAAGGAGATTGTAGTATTTGTAGTCCTTTTTTTTCTCCGGAGTGGGCCCCAAGTAGGACAGTCTTCGCGTCAGGGTGTGTCCACGTCGTTCTTGGCGGGAAAGAAGCCACCGGACAGATGCCCCACAGACGACAGACGACATATCCTTTGGTTGCATGATGAGCACAAACCTGCAGATTCTCTTGGACTGGGCAGGGCCACCATCCAACAACTCAGGAAATAGTTTCTTCCTGACTTGGAAGCTTTTCTTTTGGAGCACGCATTTCAGCGAACCAACACGACGGAACCTTTGGGAAGACTATTGACTATTTCGAACAGGATATCTCCTCAACACAGGTGGTTGGATACACTCCCCGTTTCGCCGATGGGTATCTATACGTCCATTGCCCCCTCGCGCCCCCTTGATTTGCCCTGGATTCCCCCTTTGTGTTTCATCCATTGCCGCCTCGTGCCCCCTTGATTCCCTCTTTGTCTTTCATCCCTTGCCCCCTTGTGCCCCCTTGATTCCCCCTTCGTGTTTCATCCATTGCCCCCTCGCGCCCGCTTGATTCCCTCTTTGTGTTTCATCCATTGCCCCCTCGTGTCCCCTTGATTCCCCCTTTGTGTTTTATCCATTGCCCCCTCGTGCACCCTTGATTCCCCCTTTGTGTTTCATCCATTGCCCCCTCGCGCCCCCTTGATTTGCACTGGATTCCCTCTTTGTGTTTCATCCTTTCCCCCCTCGTGCCCCCTTGATTCCCCCTTTGTGTTTCATCCATTGCCCAATCGTGGACCCTTGATTCCCCCTTTGTGTTTCATGTGTTTCATCCATTGCCCCTTCGTGCCCCCTTGATTCCTCCTTTGTGTTTCATCCATTGCCCCCTTGTGCCCCCTTGATTCCTCCTTCGTGTTTCATCCATTGCCCCCTCGTGCCCCCTTGATTCCCCCTTTGTGTTTCATCCATTGCCCCCTCGAGCACCCTTGGTTCCCCCTTTGTGTTTCATCCATTGCCCTTTTGTGCCCCCTTGATTCCCTCTTTGTGTTTCATCCATTGCCCCCTCGTGTCCCCTTGATTCCCCCTTTGTGTTTCATCCCTTGCCCCCTTGTGCCCCCT